TATTACAATTTTAAATGTGAAACAAAAAAGATATTTGGTTAATTTATTTACCTAATATAATGTGTGTTACTTGTAGAAAAAACTTGAAATGTTTTCTAAAAATTTTTAAAAAAAACTGGAAAATAGAGTTTTGCATTCAGCTTTTATTTAAAAAATAAAAACAGTTCATTATCCAAAAATTAACTAAATTTAGAAAACAGTTTAAATGTTTTTTACCAGTTTTCTTAAACAAAAATATGTTTTAACTTTTTCTATTTTAAAAAAATGATATTTCATAAAAAGTTACCAATATCTAAAAATGATTTTTTAATGAAATATTTCCAATAAAAAAATAAAAAAATTTAATAATACAAAAAAAATTATATTATGCTTTAATATAAATTAATTTTACTATTATAAAGTATGACTATATCCTTATTTCAAAAAATTCTTACAAATCGATAAACAACTAATTATTATTATAATTATTATTTATTGTATTATATTATTAGTTATAATAAATAATAATCATAAAAATTCAAAAACTTTTAAATAAAAAAATTTCTAAAATTATTTTTCAGAATATTTATTTCTTTAATTAAAAATATAAAAATGTTTTTTACCAAGAATTTTTTGAAACCTTTTCAGTTCTTTATTTTTCTAAGTTCCCCACTCAAAAATTCCTAATTTACAATAGTTTAACGTTTCATTTAAAACTAATAAAAGCACCACCGCCTTTACACGGATTAAGTATCCAATTTGAATTTGTAATTCATAGAACGAAATATATCATAACTATATAAGATGTACTATTATTTGCATTTACTTATTATATACAGTATATTTGATATTAAATTTGTAATATTTAATAAACTGTAAACAATTATTCCTATCAATTTATTTAAGGTTATAATTCAAAAACAATTTTAAAACGACTATTCTTTTTTCTAGAGATAATTTCATATAAATAAAAATCTACAATCAATATGCATGGAATAATATACAAAAACATAATTTTGTATAATTAATTATTTAAGATACCAATAATTAATTTTAAAAACTTAAAAAATCCAAAGAAAAGATAAAAGAAACAAAAAAATATATAATTACAAAAAGTTCAATTTTATCTATATCATGAGAGGGAAATAATTTCAAGTGACAAAATGCAGCAACTCTAACTGACTTATGCTGTATCACATTCAAAATTATCCTCTAAGTAAAAGCATAGTCCATTTTAAAAAATTATTTGAATACTTGAATATTCATATCTACAAACAAATTATTCCTCTTGTATGGAGTCGTTGTCATTTTATCAATAATCTTGTATTTATTATCACTCAGGATTCCATTGATTTTAATTGAAATCTAAATTCCAAACAAAATAGATTAGAGTATAAATTAAACTTCTATCCATGCTGTCCCAATACTTTTGTGTCTGCAATTATAGGAAAACAGGCATATGGTATAGTTAAACTTTAAATCAGATATAAATAACAAAATTTATAATTTCACAGGTCAAACCATATTTACATTTTTTAATGCAATAATTTACTAACTCCTTTATTCATAGCCGCCTGCCTGCATTCAGGTACATAATTAAACCAATGACTCGTTGTGGACTCCTTTTTCAGGTATAAACGACTGAAATAGACACAACAAATGACTTTCGTTTCTGTTTTTGCTTTTTCGATTTGCTAGAAGGTCGAAACCTGAGTAATATAATCACATATTTCAAAGTCAAGTTCCAAATGGATATCCCATAGTATGATTTTTTTGCTCCTGAACGTCCACACAAGTAATAAAATTTCTAACAAATACAAATCAAGCTCCGTTTCATTATTTTATGAGTTCCCTCATCGACCATCTGCACCTGCTTATCATGTTGGCTTCCTCCAGTTCAAATCAATCGGCCAAAAGGCTACTCAACTCCACCATAATGAAATCAAGTTCCTCCAATTCAAGGTGGTATGCTTCCGCCCCTCGCCTTCAATCATATCCAGCAGGCAAAATGATTTCTCTCCGTCTAATGTTAAGTATCTTGGTATAATTAAAAAATAAAGATTAATATCATTTAATATTATAATAAGAAAGACTATAATATTATTATTATACATACATATATCATCTACTGAAATAAAACTACATTACGTTCTTCTTATTCTGTTCATTAACTTAACAAGAGCATCACATACTTACCAGGAGTTACATTTCAAACATTTACGAACGAGGATAAAGCGACAAGCTCTTCTAGGCTCTAGCAGCAGCATCAGCAGGAGTTGTTTGCATTTAACATCCATTTAAAATTGTTCATAAGATTTTTGACCTTTGCATTCTATTCTCCTTCCGATGTAGACATTTGCTCAAAATTTCTATGTCTCCACGCTGCCGTAGGTAGAATTGTAGCACCTTGTCTGGAGCACAGTTGAATTGGAGTCAGTAGGTTTTTTGATTTTGATCTGCCATAATTGAAATTATGGTATGCTATTTTTAGAAAGAAAAGAGAATGTTAATATTTTTTATTATTAAAATTATTACTTTATTGGTTTATTCCCGTTGTAAAAAATAAAAACCCTGATAACGTTATTGATTTTTATATAGAATAAATAATAAATGCAAATCGAAATATGCCATACTATTCTCAACTTAATTTGATTAAAGCATTTTTTTCATTTTTCTTATTAGTAAAAATTCTTTGTTTCTTCATTTATTAATTTCTTCCTTTAGTTTCTGAAATTTGGTAAATCACCACATGTTTATTTTTTTTGTGTCAAAAATTTTTTTCAGGTAAAACATTGGGATTCCAATAAACTATGTATTGAGAACTTTGTACTTTAGTTTTTTTTTTTTTTTTTTTGCTATTTAAATAATAATCTTTAATATCTTAACTAATTATTAATACTTTAATCAAACAATAGAAAATAATTTATGCAAATATATTTCAAAAGAAAGTTATTGTCAAAGAAATATACGGAGCCAGATTTGTTGTATCTTTGCATTTTGCGAAAAGACTATTAAATGATATTGCTAATTCTTATATAGAGTTGCCAAATACAAGTTGGTTTGTCCATACAAGTTGGTTGCAACGTTTCAGTATTATTTCTGTAAGAAATTTAATGTTCTTGAATGAAATTATAAATTGAAGGGAATGATGGTGAAGTGAGTTTCAAACCAAGAGATAAAGGATTTTTGTCTTGGCTATTAGACCTAAGACTTCATCCGCTTTTGTTACAATTATAATTGAATATAAAAAAAAGTATTCTTGGTCATTCTAGACATGAAAGATCTTATTTTTGGTAGTAAAATTAGACATAAATAGAAAACAATATGTATGATGGTATGGATATTTGATTTTATGAAATTCAATAATTATATATTATGATTTTATATGAGTTTTAATTTTTGTTTAAAAAAATTTATGTTGCGTACATGCAAAATATGGTTTTACATAAAATTTGAAAGCATTTTTTCGGTTTAAAGCTTATTTTGAGTTAGAAAATACATGTCTCATAGATTTAAAAAGAAAAAAAAGTTTATATCATAATTGATAGTATTATAAAAAAAACCAATATTTGAATATACCAATATTCTTTTTATATCATAATTGATAGTATTATAAAAAAAACCAATATTTGAATATACCAATATTCTTTTTCTTCTATGTGATTCCTCATTTTTAGATATTAATAATATGAACTGACCTTTTTACTGATTAAAAAAAAAACTTTGAAATCTACACAAAATCTTGTAAGCATTTTACTAATAGAAACATTATTTTTAAAAACTAATTTTTAAAAAATATCTTTACACATTATCTATACTTATTGTTTATATTCGTGATTTAATATTTTTTAATAATAAATTTAAATTTAAATATAAAAATTTATAATTAAATTAAATATTAATCCTTTGTAATATATGTCTTTTTTTTATTAAATTTTGAAACTGAAATATGATTTTCTTTTATTTTTAAAACAGATAAATATTAACCATCATCATAATAATTGAGTTCTATGTAGTAGTCATTTATTATTATAATCTAATTGAAATATTAAGATTATAATTAATTTCAAATATTATTTTTTTTAACGTGAATTATAAAAGATTAATAAGTTGGTAAGTTCAAATATTAGTTATTTAATAACATTATTATTTATAAGATAGGTCTTCGCTAACTCAAAAGAATTTTTCAATACAAAAAAATGGTTATAAATCTTACGTTGAATAATAATTAAATCTATCAGAGTTTAGATAATTATATTTAAAATTAATTTTAATAATTTGTGTGGCCTTATTAAGTTTAAAATTTATTTATAATTTTATTAATTTCAAAAAAAAGGTTCAAATGTAATCAATTTTATAAAATCAAAAACCTGAATTATAATGAACTTTTGTTTATATTAAATGTAAAAAATGTAAATTTATAAATAAATTATATAAAATTTACTTAGACCAAGTAAGATTCAAAGAAAACCATTAAATTGTACTTTATATTTCATAGAATTTATGAATAATTTTAATTTTATCTTTTTACATATTTGACTAAATAAGAAAATCATGATACATTATATTATTAAGAAATTTTACTTCATAATTTTATATTTCATAATAATAAAAATAAATAAATAAATAAAACAAATTTTACCTCATAATCTTATATTTCATAATAAAAATAAATAATAAATAATAAATAAATTCATAATAAATAAAAATAAATAAATAAATAAAAACCAAATCTTTACCTCATAATCTTTAATATTTCATAATAAAAATAAATAATAATAATAAATAAACATAAAAAAAGGCACATATTAAAATTTGATTAATATTAACTATATCAATTGATTATATATGCTTATTATTGAAGTTTTTTAAATGATAGAATTTCAACTTAATTCGTCTGATATTTGCTTCCACTATGAAAAATATATTCTGTTTCTTCGAACACCACAATTTTTTTTTTCTGTTTCTTCGAACACACAAATTTTTTTTCCGCTTCACTGTAAACGACATGAAAAATAAAATTCTCGAATCAAACGGCAAGAGTATTTATATTGCTAATTAGAACAAAATTGTACAATAATGTTAGACTTGATCCAGTAATGGTTGCCGGCACAGCGGACACGATGACTGTAACAATAACCATTTATCTACACATTTCACATGAAAACCATGGTTACATTTTGGCAAAATTCTAACCTTTTCACCTTGTTCAAATTCTCCGAGACAAATCAGACATTCTGTTACTGGAGTATTTAGCTCTGATTCATATGCTACCACCGGAATCTGCTTCAATGTGCTTTTCTTCAGTCCAGTAGCTTCAGCTGTAGCTGTTGGAGTAGTCTCAGACACAAATCTATACCCACATCTTATAGCACACCGTACAATAGAGTTTAGACCAAGAGCAAACATTAATGCACATAACAAAGCTGCTAATATTATAACCATGTTGTTATCGAAATTTGTTGACTTGCTTGCATAGTAATTACTACTTGTTTTGTCTTCATGGTTATTGGGAGCCATACCTATCTCCTTGTCCAAGAATAGGCGATGTTGGTGCCGGTGGTACACAGATTTCTCCATGTTCTTTACCTGTTTGATGAAATGTCTAGGTGAGTTTTTGAAGAGAAAGCAAAAGAAGCAACACTTGAATTTTTAAGCTTAATAATCGGTATATGTGTTACAAATATTCCAAACAGATAAAAGGAAGCATCTAATTTTGTTAGAGAGGATAAGGGAAAGGAGTATTGAATTTATTAGTGGTTATCCAAAAATTTGGGACCATAGAAATGCCATATTGTGTCAAATTGTTCATAAAATGGTCCTACTTTGCCTTATGAAGAAGAAAAAGAAGAAAGCAAGTGAAAGGGAGAGTTTGGCTTTATTTAGTGGTTATCCAAAAATTTGGGACCATAGAAATGCCATATTGTGTCAAATTGTTCATAAAATGGTCCTACTTTGCCTTATGAAGAAGAAAAAGAAGAAAGCAAGTGAAAGGGAGAGTTTGGCTTTATTTAGATTCATGTTCAGTGACATTATTGGTCCAATCTGTTCCTAATACAGTGTTTGTAGGCGAAAGAAACACAGTGCAATGAGAGACTAAGATATTTTTGTTTTTGTTTTTGTTTTTTTTCTTGAAAGGACTAAGATATTTTTGTTAAGACCAAAGAATTTGTGGTTTGGCAACTTTCAGTTGTGTATAATCTTTAGGACTACTTCAGATTTGGGACAGTTGATATAGTTTTCTCTCTATTTCTTGGCACACAAACAGTGAGTTAGGGATTACAGCTCTATAACTCCTAACAATATGTTGCTATTTAGGATTTTAAATGGAGTCCAATTAGCTAAAAAGACTTTGGTTTAGTGATCAAGTGAACTAAAGTCTATCCCAAGAGGGTTAGCTTAATGGAAACCACACTGGACAAATTTTTGATGATCCTGGATTCAATTCTTGGGGGCATCCAAGTTTAAACACATCAATGTCTATGGATCATAACTCCTATGTGTACTGGAGATTTACCCGATCCATATAAAGGAGGCATTTGTATGAATCCGAGGTAGAGAGTAGGAACTATGTCTGTCATAATTCCCTGCCATCTTATCCTTATCTTATCTCCTCGGAGTTTTGTTGGATTTTTTTTAATTTATATATTTTGACATTGTTGAATTATATCATTTATCATAGATAACATGTCCAATATGTTACTTTATATGGGGGTATAACAAGGTATGCATTTCTATAAAAGAATGTACCTAAAAACAAAAACATTCAAAGCCCTATTCATGTTGAATATAGAAAATATTAGAATATAATCATAGATGTCGATCTCTTTTTATTTAACCCTCAAGAAAGGTCAAAATAGTAAAAATTAATGGATTCTTTTAATGTAAAAAAAAAATTTCTTGACATCCATCATGATTATGTAATTGCTAATGTTCAAATAAAGTTTTATGGATTCGGGTTTAATGCCTTTTAAAACAAAAATTTGGGACATCATTTCATGATTATGTAATGCTTAATGTTTCAATATAAAGTTTTTAGAAGAAATAGTTTAGCCATATCTAATCATGAGTAACTTAATGTATAGGCATTTACATGACCATAGATGGTGTTATATTATTATAACGGGCTACATGAAAAATAAAATAGAATTATTTAATGATGGCAATTCAAAATCATGTAAAAAAAAGAACCATTACTTTCACGCTTTAATTCATTTATTTATGCGCTTCATTGATTTGCTTATAAAATGTACACGCATTTTTTCCAGATTATAGATTGTCTTAAATTAAGTTTGTTTGCTAATCTTCTTATTTAATATAAGATTTAAAAATATTAATGTTCTTAATATGTTCATTGATTTGCTTATAAAATTACACGATTTTTTCCAGATTATAAGATTGTCTAATTAAGTTGTGCTAATCTTCTTATTTAATATAAGATTTAAAAATATTAATGTTCTTAATTATTTGAGTTGCCCTAAAATTCTATAAAAAGGTTTTATAAGTACACCTATCCCAGAAAAAAAGATCACAGCAAAATAGAGCAATCTTTTTCATATTTTAAAGGAACAATCCCTCAAGTGTTGAAGCCATGGAAGGAGGTTTGAGTGAGCTAGATCTACAATGGAGGTGGAGAATCCAAAGGATGGAGAATGGTTCAGCAAATACTGCTTCCACAAACAACTTATGGAATGCAGCTAAAAAACATATTGGCAAAGCATTCAAAAAATTGCTAGGAATAAGAAGTACGAGAATAACTCCTAATTAATTTGGAATAAACGAAATTTCATTGAATTTATTTAAGAATTATTTTACTTTCCACCACTTTTTGTAATAAAAAAATGTGATCGTCAAAGATATTTACGTGTCAATTTTTAAGTATTATAAGTAAATTCGTTATCTGAATGTATAGATTAAAATATACAAGGTGATGTATGACAAGTATTATTAATTAAATAAAGTAATAATACTTCTTTTTTGTTTATGTCTATATTTCTTCTTTTTAGAGGCATGGTACCTCTTGATGTAATCAATTAATTGAAAGTGAAGTAATTGATTGAGTAATTTCTAAATTAGCTTGTAATTGAAATTTTAATAAAGAAAAAGTAAGATACTTGTTAATTAAATGCAAGAATAATATGCTTTTTTTCTTTATGTTTATTTTTCTTTTTTAGAGGCAAGTAAATAATTTTTTAATTAATTCTATATAGCGCCTTGTTTCTTCAGAATTCCAATTTGCTCAAGTCTGGTTGATTTTTTTTTTGAAAAATATAATTCATTAATAATAAAATTAAGTATCAGACCAGACATAAAACTTACTATTATAATTAATAAAAAGTTTGTCGATCCTTCGATAACAAAAGAATTATTCATATTCTTTTAAATAGTAAAACTAAAATTAAAAGAAACAATATTGAAGTTTTTCGTTTGAAACTAACCTTGATCGATATAAATGGTAACAACTAGTCCTTTAATTGATTTGGACGACAAAATAATTTCTCTGAATCTTCTATACTTGAATTGCTTTTCCAAAAACTTGTTGCATATGAAGTACACATATGAATTCAAGCCACTATGTGTTAATAGCACCAATGGAATAACATTCCGTACTACCAGCCTTCATTTATCGAAGATACACATCAGTAAAGCAAGATCCAAATTCTCTAACCAAATAAAATCAAATATCATACATTTTAATAATAACCTTCACAAAAAAAGAATTAAACCCTCACGGATGGAAGAAGGTGCAAAATAACTCCACATATACAGACAAAACAACAATAACAAAAAAACAAAGAAAAAACATATCTATTATAAGAAAATAAATTTGAGTTAATTAAAAACAAATAAAAGATTAAGTGCGAGAATAAAAAAAACAGCGGCAAACCCAAACAAAAACTAGCCTTGGATGAATTAGAGAGAAAAGAGGAAGAGAGCAATGCTAAAACAAGTCTGATTGATTATTAGGATTTGTCTTATGTTCAAAAAATACAACAATGATGCAGTTTTATGTAGATTTGGAGTTTAATTATATTTATAATCCAAGCAATTATAAATTTTTATATTTTCTCAAAAAAAAGATAAATGTTTTAAACAACTATCTAACAGAGTATTGACTTCTTCAAAAGAAAAAAAAAAAAAAAAAAAAAATAAAACAGAAGTATGACCTTCTCAAAAGAAAAAAAAAAAAAAAAAAAAAAATATTCTTTAATCATTCATTTAAGGCGAGCGGTTGATAGATGGACTATATTGTGCCCCATACCGTTTTATGAAAATTACTAAATTAAACAAAAAGGGGAAAAAATAGTAGTAACGATTAAAACGACGTTAGACAGTATTAATTATTATACATTTCAATAGATCATAATATATGCATAGGCAAAATTATATTGACATAATAGATAATTTTTAAGGCCAGAATGAAAAAAAAAAAAAAAAAAAAAAAAAACTATTTCTTAATCATTCATTTTAAGGGAGCTTTGATAGATGGATATGTGCCCCAACCGTTTATGAAATTACTAATAAACAAAGGGGAAAAAAATATAAAGATAAAAGATAAAGATATTATTTATTTCAATAGATGATAATATATGGCATATGAAAATTATATGACATAATAGATAATTTTTTAAGCAAATGATTAGGTATTTATTTTCTTTTAAAAATTTTTGAACACAATTTTCATTTAATTTTTCTTTTCTATTTTTAACTACTTTAATTTTTTAACTTTGAAATGTTGAATTAAATAATTACCCAAAGGTTTCCGCCTTCTAACAAAATCAAAGCAAAACAAGAAATGCCAGTCATTTCTTCAAACACATATCTTAATTGTTGTGTCCTATTTCATCGTTTATACGACCCATGACTACCAGTGAAGGGTATGTAGAATGGAAAACACAGGGACGCAATTTGTTGCCAACACAACTCGAGACGCGAAGAGTGAAGACATTCCCCTCACTCCCAGATTGCAGACTCCAGAGTCTAAAAGAGTCCTCACTGACAGACACTAGATACTCTGAAAAAGGATCCCAACACAGAGTCAATTGGTTTATTATGTACCTGAAATGCATGCAGGCGAGCCGGTGCCTCAACATCAAATATATATACAACATTGTCACCAACATTGTCACCTCCCTTAACCCGACTGGAAGCTTATTTTGGTCGATCCGCCCTTGAATACTCTTAAACAACTACCAATCTTAATACTCCAGAAATGTGATTCAAGCATCTGCATTGCCAAAGCAAATTACATAATCCTTAATTGGGTGGAAGTCGTGGAAGTCGTGTTCTTGTTGGCCAAACGACTGGAGGCTTAAAACCATGGTCTCTATCAATTTCAGCATCAACACGTTTCTTCCATGCGTCAACTAAACTTCTAGCTTTCTTTCGAATTTCTAAGTTCTTATGTGTCCCCAGATGGTTCACTAATTTACCGATGGTACACGTTTGTAAGGCGTAAATATTTGTGGGGAGTTTGTCCAATGCACGAAGTACAACTTCAAGAAATTCCTCAATAGATTTTTCACTATCCTTGGAACCACTACCATCTCCAATCTTCCCTTTCAGCACATCCTGCAACCATTCATCAAATACATGCAAGCCCCTAAGATGCACAAATCTATCAAGGCAATAAAACTTATCTGTTGCTGCTACCACACCAGCCAGTACAGATCGGCCAACCAAGTCTATCTTTTTTCCATTTTTCTCAGGCTCCATGAGCTGCAGTAATTTTTCAACACCTTCAGAATCTACAAGCCCTCCTTTTTCTGTAAATTTAGCAATCTCAGACTTCCAAATGCTTTCAGGTCCAGAGTCACCAGAATCCCCATCATCCATCTTTGCATCAACATCATCTTTAACCCTTGGATCAACATTACTGTTGAGAGATTCATCCTCCATATCAGCCTGCATATCAAGATCATTATTACCCCTTAACTGATTCGCTGGAGATGTAATAGTGCCTAGATTATCAATTCCAAACATCATTAGATGCTTTGAAGAACTACTATATGAATGAGCCTTCAAGTTATCAGAAACGCCAAGCATGAGCTGGCCATTAATATTAATCTTACTTCCATATCGAACATCATTGCTGTTCTCACTGGGATTTGCTTGGTGTTGATTTCCATCTTTACTTGTGTCTTTCAACAACAATAATAGTGGAACATATGACAAAGAATTGCCATTTTGCTGCAAAATAACAACACTGTGATCAAACTAATATTAACACTTTGCTTTTCTGCTCTTGATGTGTAAATTTCAAAGCAGTACTTGAACTTTATTGAGGCTTAATTTAATTTGTAATTTGTTCAATTTCATAAAACTAAATTTATGAGAGTGAAATAAACATTCTCATCATTCATACCAAACGAGAAATATAAAGTCCTAAATCAACTATACAAAACTTTACGAAATTCATAACAATGGCACCTGATTAGCATTGGGCTCAAACTATGGCAGTTTTGGTATATATTAGTTCTCTAATTAAAGAGGAATTAAAAGCAAACCTGCAGGTACTCGACGACATTGCTGTGTCCGAAGAGGCTATCAATGACAGCGAAATTATGTGGTTCAACACTTGGAGGAAAATAGGAAGCTACATAACACTTATCGGTGCATGGCCTGCGAAGGATTTTACAGGCGGCGCAAGGTCCGATGACAGCGGCAGAAGGCAGGCCGAAAGGACTAAAAGAATTTTGGGAAAGCGGTAGGGGAAGACTTTGATGAGAAGACAGAAATGGAGAATTTAGACTTGGATCAGAAGATGGACATGAAGAACACGAATTAAAAGATGGCGGCGGAGAAGAAGATGAAGATGGTGTTAATGATTGCGAATTGGAAAACGTAGAGGGAAATACGAACGGGTTTTTGGCCATCTGAAACCGATCGAGATGGAACAGAAAATGGGTCAACAACGGTGGTCTATTTATTATTATTTTTTTGAGAATAATTTTTATTTTTGTTTTGCTAATGCTTCATTTAATTATAATAGCTTGAGCACTTAGGTCGATAATTCCAAGTAATTATACAGTGTAAGCGTATAATACTATAAGGGTACAATACTATAATTTTATAATTTTCTTTTTCCTTCTCATTTGATGCTTATCAAATTCAAAATCAAACCCCATCTTATGTTCATAGCAAACTCCATCTTATAATTTAAATCAAACTCAATATTATTAATTAAATATTATATTAGATACAGAAAAATAATTATTATTGTTATTATTATGTCGTATAATTTCCTTATGGCATATTTATCATTGATTGAAATAAGGGATAATGAAAAAAAAAAAAAAACAGTGAAAAAAGGAAAGATAATGAATCTTTCTCTGTATTCATATTTCATAGTTACAAAATAAAGCTTTTTCAAAAGAATCAATACCTAACTGTACTAACTTTAGCTTTTACAAAAAATAATACAATAAAATCTAGAATACTACAAACCAGATATTAAATCGACTAGATTTTAGGCTAGAATTAATATAAAATATCTTTGAGTAGCTAGTTTTGAAATACAATCATAGTCATCTAAATAGAAGCAAAGGATGAGGCACCGCTGTGTACATCATCCGACCCAAGTTTTAGCTGTGATGTTGATGTTGAACCATTCACTGGCTTAGGTGAATGTCCCGCTGGTTCCACAGATGAATGCATTTCTATGCGTGTCTTGTATAATAGCTGATCTACTTCTTCTTGACGTTCCTGTGGAAAAGAAATACTCCATCTGTTTAAAGTTTTTACACAAGAATTAAAAAAAAAATTAATTTTTCTAGATTATAATAAAACTATACAAACCAGATATTAAATCGACTAGATTTTAGGCTAGAATTAATATAAAAATATCTTTGAGTAGGCTAAGTTTTGAAATACAATCATAGTCTATCTAAATAGAAGCAAAGGGATGCAAGGCCAAGCGCTGTTGTACATCATTCCGACCCCAAGTTTTAGCTGTGCATGTTGATTGTTGAACCATTCAACTGCTTAGCGTGAAACTGTCCCCTGCTGGTTCCACAGAGAATTGCCATTTCATATTGCGTGTCTTGTATAATAGCTGATCTTTACTTCTTCTTGACGTTCCTGTGCGAAAAGAAATAGCTCCATCTTCTGTGGAAAAGAAATACTCCATCTGTTTAAAGTTTTTACACAAGAATTAAAAAAAAAATTAATTTTTCTAGATTATAATAAAACTAAAGATAATATGACCAAATTATCATTTATAGTTCGTTGTGAAAGTATTTATTGTATCTAATGTAAATTAGTGTAACATTAGAAAAATATAATTTATTATTCTTAAAATACTCCAATTTCGCAATATGCAAGAAGTGTGAATGTAAGGGATATATTTAATGTGCAAGAAGTGCAAGCAAAATATGTACACACGTACATTAATATTATCTTGGTCAGTTAGCCAGAAAAAACACTTGTATTGAATGTCGTAAACTCGCCGGCACACAAAAGAGCAAATCCCTGATGGAAGTTCAACACCTTTTGGGAGAAATGAAACTTTACACGGATGGAGTATGATGGAAGTTCAACACCTTTTGGGAGAAATGAAACTTTACACGGATGGAGTAATGATGCAGCAGGAATCTCATCCTTATGAAAGGAATAGAATACTTCATTTGGTGCAGCTTCCAAAGGGATGCCTTTGCGAAGCTTCACTTCAGCAGGTCGATATAACCAATTCACACACAACTTGAGCACTTCACCGACAATCAGCGATCGAATTATTCCAACGAAAGGTGGGGAGTCCTGCGGTGGCTTGAAAACAGCACAATCTCCAACACTGATCTTGCGCCCCTCCTGTTAGATAAAACAAAACGGGAAACTTCAGTCAACTGTTACAGAATTTATCTGAAAAAAAAACAGCTGCATCTAATTAATTGCATTTCTGGATCACTAAACTGTTCCATGAATATAAACAATTATTTGGAATTTACGAAGGCAATTGATTTCAAGACAATCATGGTCAGCACTCATCAATAACCTCACTATGTTTTATACTAATTAAAATTTTAAATTATGTCTTATTGTAGAAGTTTTGTCATATGTTAATTACAAATTATATCTTGTACATCACTACGTACTATACGTATAATTACCTTATTTATACAAATTTTATTTATTTTCGTTATTAAGGATTTCGCTATTAAAAGTATGTCAAACACCTATTGCTCGACCCATTTTTTATTGATCTTTGATGTATTAATTTTAATTTAATGTCAATATTATTCTATGTATCAACAATATTATTCCTTATGAATTGTAATTCAACTTTGAAATTCACTAAATTTTACATTGTGTTTATGCATATTATTATCTAAGTCTAATTATCATTTTATGTATTCAATTTTTAACTTGTTGGCCACTCGCGTAAGTTAGTTTAATTTTATGTTTATTATAATTACTATTGTTCATTTTTTTAATAGAAAATCATTATTTTCTTTAAGCAAATTATTATTATTATATTTATTGTTGAGTGAATTTTTTTATTCTATAATAAAATTAATTTTTGTAAATTATTGTAAATCTTTTTTTCGATTTTTTATGAACATTTTTATTTAAAGTTTATAGAAAAGAACATGAATACGGTAGAATCAAACTATAATAAATATTTTATCTAATTTTCAATTATTTGTATACTTTTATTTATGTTTTATTAATCATTTTGTTGAATTGTTTTTTATTGAAAATTAAAATTAAAATAATGGTAAATGATAAGAAAAACAACACGTGCAACACTATACTACTCAGTGTTCCAAGGAATGAACAGCAATTTCACACCCACATGATCACCATTCCGACTCTCATTTATACAAACCCCTTTCAAAGTAGATGAGACCCAATTTGGTAAATAGTAGTTTTGTAGTTAAAGATTAATTAAAACCATACCTTCATAAAGAACTCGACATTGCTAAGTCCCAAGACGCTATCAACAGTGAAATTATGCGATTCTGCACTTGGAGGAAAATAGGAAGCTGAATAACACTTATCGTTACATGGCCGGCGAAGGATTTTGCGGGCGGCGCAAGATCCGAGGAAAGCCGCAGATGGAAGGCCGGAACGGCTGGAAGAAGTTTGGGAAGGCTGTAAGGAAAGACTTTGATGATGAGAAGACAGAAAAGGAGAATTTACACTTGGATCAGAAGATGATGAAGAATATGAATCAAAAGATAGCGACGGAGAAGAGGACGATGATTGTCTTGGTGATTGGGAATCGGAAAATGTAGAGGGAAATACGAATGGGTTTTTCGCCATCTGAAAGCGATCGAGATAGAACAGGAAATGGGTCAACACTTGGTATGTATACGAGTACTTTTTTCCAATTTTTGATTGCTATGGGATATCACATTTCAGAGAATTCAAAAATAAGGGAAAGTGCGGCAGCGCCTCTTCCATGTCCCTTCCATTTTGACTAACTCCTCTTCCTTTAAGCAGTGTTATTTTTCTTTTATTTTCAATGGGTTTTTCGCCATCTGAAAGCGATCGAGATAGAACAGGAAATGGGTCAACACTTGGTATGTATACGAGTACTTTTTTCCAATTTTTGTTTGCTATGGGATATCACATTTCAGAGAATTCAAAAATAAGGGAAAGTGCGGCGGCGCCTCTTCCATGTCCCTTCCATTTTGACTAACTCCTCTTGCTTTAAGCAGTGTTATTTTCCTTTTGTTTTCCATTCAGCTAAGTTGGAGACTAATACATGATCAAACTAATATTAACACATTTCAATAAAATTTAGTATGGTAACAAAAAAAAAAAAAAAAAAAAAAAAAAAAAAACCTCTGATGTACCAATTTGTTTCTTAATAATAGAAAATTGAAAGTAAGAGGCGAGAAAAAGGAACAAAGAGGATGGAATTCCATACGTAAATAGAAAAAAAAAAAAAAAAAAAAAACCTCTGATGTACCAATTTGTTCTTAATAATGAAAAATGAAAGAGGGAGAAAAGGAACAAAGAGGATGGAATTCCATACGTAAAATAGTTACTAGCAAAACCCACTTTATTGCCTTCCATCAACCATAGTAATAGGGAGGTTTCATTTATTAATTTAATCCAAAAGGATTTCATTTTTTATTATACAACTAATTCTTCTCCCAAGCATAATATATATTCTTGAAGCCCAATTTCATGGAGTTGTGATACCTACGAAGGTAAAGCAAGAAAATCAAAAATCAGAATAATCACCTTCAAGATGTTTGTTAAATTGCCTAGGAGACTTAAATTGAGAAAGCTTACTTCCACATTTGAAATGGCGAGGAACCCTTCTGCCACAGCCTTCAACGACTCGAATGGCACGGTTAAGGTCGATAAGGGCAGCTAATTTAGGGGTAATAACAGGGCAAACACATTCGATATGGGTAACCCTTATACGCTGACAACACTGCGGAGATGGTGGTCTGCCGTATACAACTGGCTTGCAAGCATTAAGCCCAAGCCTTCTTTCCTCCTTGCACTGCGCAGCACTAAGGGCTGCGTTAGCTGTGTTAACTTCCCATAGGCCTAAGACAGCAATAATGACCAAGGCAATTAAAGGCCTAATTGACTTCATGTTATTCTTTTTTAGAAGAAAAGATTTGTTTTGCATCTTTTCTAATATCCCACTTGTGATCTGAAGATACCTAGGGTATATATAGTGGAGAAAGAATTGGAGATTCCTCTATGTTTTTTCAAAGGCTAGTATAGTGCATTATGGCATTATATATATGTGTATTTCTTTGACTTTCATTAATTTTTTCTTTTTGTCATATGGGCACTACTTCTATATGTCCTATCGTTGAGGTTGGTGCCTTAAAAATATAGGGACATCTATGTTGAGTCTTTTTCATTTATAGCTTATTGTATCGACGTAGAAAATTAAATTAATTGTTAATTCAAGACAATTTGATTTAGTTGTTAAAAGCGGACCAAATCCTACATTTGATCGTAAAATTCAGTATAAATTCAACATCTTGAAAAGGATTGTGGATATAATTTCTTCTTAGTCCAAAAGTAACTAGTCTTTTATTCAACTTCTGAAAAAAAAAAAATTATATACTTATATTCATATATTTTTTCAACTTCCTAGCTCAACCTTCTTTTTCTTTATCCTTTGACACACATTTATATTTAGTAAAAATAATTTTCAATTCATTTGAAATTTGAAATTTTTATATTTGATATAAATGAAAATCATTTATTTGAAGCATAAAAGCAGAATTTTATGGAATTCAATATAATTAACCAAATCATTTAAATTTATCTATGTTAAACAAGGATAATAGTAATCAAATCACATCACTTGTAAATGAATTTGACATTTTAAATTTATTTATATCAAATAAGGATAAAAATATTTTATAATGAAATTTCATTTTTTTTTTTTAAGAAGAACTGCTTAATTATCAGTAGCATCAAGAAGCAGTACATCATGAATAATCAATGGAGGGTCCATAAACCACTCCATTAAAATAGTCCTAAAACCAGTATCTCAGGCTAAACTAAGAACAACCTGATTCGTTGATTTTTTAATAAAAGAAAAGGATAATGAAGTAAATCCTTTAGAGAGCAATTTACAATCATGAATTAAATTTTCAAAATAAAATATATGTGCCTTTATTAGTTTATGCTCACAATTTATCATTCTTAATAGTTTACATTGGTATCAAGTTTAAATTTCATTTGTAAATTTTATTAATTAAGTAGAATATAGAATTAAATAATGCAAAATTCTACATAAATTTTCCATTTATATAAATAAGAAAGTATGAATTGATGAATTCAACACCTCTACTTCTAGAAAGGGATAATTATATTTGTTTAAGAAAAAAATATATACGATTTAAGGTGTGATTTGAATGATTGAGTAAAAAAGAATTATGATTGTGGAAATACAAGTTGGAAATTTTTATAGAATGGAGAAATTGCATGGTCTAAACATAGGCCAGCCATTAAAATAAAAGGAAAGATAATGACAAATATATAAACGTAACAACCTTTCAAAATTAGAAAGGGTTAATAATTATATTTTAAATATTTATATTATAGGGAATTAAATTGTAATTTAACATTTTCTTAGTGATTATGATAAGAAAAGAAGGGCTTGTTAGGTGGGCATTTGACTTTTGATGGATTTTTTTTTTGGCATGTTACCCACAGAACTTAGGACGGAGGGACCCTTCAATTTTTTAAAAGGAATAAAATCATCAAATTCTTTCAAATTTGTAAAATACATTTTGTTCAGCCACCCTTTTGGACTGCGGCACCCACCTTCTATTTGGCTTAAAATTTTTTTTTTCCTTTATTTATTAGAGGTCCTTTCCGTTTTTCATATTTTTTATAGAATATAAAAAAATCAGTAATAGTATATCTTATTGGCAAAAAAAATTAAAGGAAAAAAAAAAAAGAATTTCTAAGGCTAACTAAAGAGTATTTTAGAAATTACACTTAAATTAAAAAAAATGGAAAGAAGGATTTAAAAAGTTTTATTTTATTTTTATGAAACAATTTACTAAAGGCCAAGTAATATCACGATCCCTTTTCTTTATACCAAATAATGCAATTTAAATTATTGATACATTCTTTTTCAATAAAATCTCACCAAGTTATGAAAACTGAAGATAAAATTTATTGCTTATAATTAAAATTATATTTAGTAATGAATATATCATCTCCATATAAATTAAAGTTATTCAACTTTATAACAATTTAAAAAATAAAATTATATTTTAAAAATTATATGCATTTTCAATTTCAGGGTTTACCATAAATGTTAACATACAGTAATTTCATTTTTCAACATCACTACTACACAAAAGTAAAGCCTACACTTTGACTGTTTGACACTGATCGTCCTCAGAGGCAAATGGGCTAATTCGAGAGAAATTTGTATTGTGGAAGATTGAATCCATAACTTATGCCATAGTGATCAGCCCCACAAGTGCTCTTTGTCACTGAGCTATCTCATTCATGTTATCTAGATTAGGTTGTTAATCTAGGTTTTGTTGTCTAGTTAAATCTTCTAATTAATCATCAACATATAATAGAGTCATTAGGCAAGGATACATTTTGAGTCTTATTTTATAACAAAAGATATATTTAATAATTGCTCTTGTTCAAATTATGATTTAGGTTAAAATTATAAACAAATGAAAGTGTGTATTTTATTTTATCGTTTAAAAACATTTTTTTTATTTTGTCAATTGAATTGTTTAAAGTCTCTAATGTGGAACTAATTGAACCATTTGATTAATTTGTTTGAGACCGGTTTTGTTATATAACATTATTAATTTTTTATGTTGGAAAAACTTTGTCTAAGCAAGTGTAAACAATTGCTTTCTACACCAATCAATTGTTGAATAGCATTTCAAATTTAATATTGCTTATTTATTTATTTATTTCTCTTTTATTCACAACATTTTTTTATATTTAAGCCGAAAGAATATAATTTTATAAAAAAAATGATATTTTATACAAGAAAATGGAGATGCGAAAATATATCTGAAATGCAAAAATAGTCGTGGGTAAGAGTTTCCATATATTGTACTACTAACCAAATGTAATAATTTGCTTATTTATTTATTTTTCTTTTATTTACAGACGTGTTTTTATATTTAGGCTGAAAGAATATAATTTTATATAGAAAAATAATATTTAAAACAAGAAAATTGAGATGCAAAAACATATCGAAATGCGAAAATAGCCATGGGTAAGAGTTTCCATATACTGTACTACTAGCTTTTTATTTTGAGTTTTTATTGATCAAGAGCCTTTCTTCCACAATCTTAAAGGAGAAAGAGCTTTCGCTGCCCGATTAGCATCTATTGGACCTTTAAAATTTCCTTTACTAGTAGTCTTCCAATGGCTCTGCCCAATTAGTCAAGCTTAGTCATAATCTTATAGTACAGAGAAGAATGATGTGTTTTTTTTTTTTTTTTTTTTTTTTTTTTTTACTAGTTAGTCTTCCAAGTCTCTGCCCAATTAGTTCAAGGCTTAGTCATAATTCTTATAAGTACAGAGAAGAGAATGATGTTTTTTTTTTTTTTTTTTTTTTTTTTAAAAAAAAGAAGAGAAGAATGAAGTTTAAATTCGCTTTTTTTTTTTTTAATTTAAAATTTATTTTAATTGATGAAGTTTGAAATTTGTGAATTTGATAAAATTCATGAATTAAGATTTTTTTTTTTTTGAGAATGATGAATTAAGATATTTCATTGTTTAATTAAAAAATAAAATTTATGAATTAGAATTGAAGAGTATTTTTGAATTAAAGAATAATGAAATTGAGAATGTGATCTCTTTTCCAAAATAATGAAATAGAGATATTAATGGAATTTATTAATTCTATAAACTGTGATTTATTTTTTTAATCAAATAAAGAAATATGGTAAATTTATATATAGAATATTTAAATTCTATCAAATCTAAATGATCTTTTAGTGATAGTACACCAAATCTTAATATATAATTGGGCTGATATTTTTAATTTCAAATATAAAAAGGAAAATAAAATAAATTTTTTACCTAATCTTAACAGTTTAACTTCTGTAGATTTAATCCTAAAGCTTTTGCAGACTATGACTACAATCAAACTTTCTTAATTTGGCTTATAAGAACATACATAGAAAATGAGAAATTACTAAATTACCAAATTGGTCCCTGAATATTTCAATTATATCATATTCATCTAATTTTAAGTTCAGTATCAAGTTCAAATAGTGCTTCTATTTTTGAATCAATTTTTATTTTCAAACAAAACAAAAAATTATTTTTACATTTTATAAGTTAAAAATTAAAAATTAAAAATAGAACAAGAATTGCAAGGCTAATATGAATAAAGGATATAAATTTTTTTCTACATATTTTAATATCATAACTCTATACAATTCAACCCATCAAGGAAAAAACAGAACATAATTGCAATTCTATATATGAAATACCCCGAATTTTTATTTTTGAAACTTTCGAATTTTTATTAAATCAAAAATCTCGATTTTCAACTATATGGGCTATAATTATTAAATCAAAAATCTCGATTTTTCAACTATATGGGCTATAAATACCAAAACATTTCTAATTGGAGCCCAAGGTTGCGTTTGGGCCTTAAGCCCAAATATTACATCGAATTTTCAATTTCGAGAACGGTAAATTTGAGAAATTAATACGAAACCTGTAAATTTAAACCCTATTAGGAATATATACCAAATTAATTATCCTAAAATCAAATAGGTGTTACTTAATATATGTATTATTATTGGGTAATTGGGAAAAAAAAAAAAAAGTTTACGGAACCTAACTAAAACAAAACGAAATAAACGCGACTAGAAATCAAATTGATTTGTCAAAAACTAGCTTTAATTTTCTGCAACCAAGAAATTTAAAATCGGGTCAAACCATTTGACTTGGACCAAAACCGTTTTTGAATTGAACCGAATGGCCTAGAAATAGCTAGAAGAGAATGGCCTAGAAATTGCTAGAAACCGCCTTTCTTCTTATTTTCTTTCTCTTCTTCTTCTTCTCCGCGCGTTCTTCTCTGTCTCTTCTCCGACCTCCGGCCTCCGGCCACCAAAATCGGCAAGCCATAGCTCTAAATTGAAGAGCACAAAGAAAGGAAGCCATTTGTAGTCTCGTTTTGCGGAAACAGAGCTTGAAACGAGAAAAAATCGCGTTAGAAGCAGCGGGACACCGTGCAAAGCCATTTCCGGCGATTCTCGCCGTTTCCGGCGGACACAGCCAGCGAGGAGACCTCTAATCGACTCCTCTTGGTCTTGCGCGTGTCTTCCTCCCTTCAGTTCCGACGATCAGGCTTCGGTGGTGAAATCACTATTGACGGCGGTGCCAAGCTTCGGGTGGCATCGGTTTAGGCAATGGGCCACCGACTCAACAAACGGAGACATGGATTTGTGTCCTTGGTTGATAATTTTCGATTCTAGGGGTGCTAACCAAATTGCATGTTTCTGGGCAGCCTGATTTCCCGACGCCACCGTGAACGGCGGTAGCTAGACGGCGGCGGCTCCGGCTCGAAGCCTCCTGGTGAGGCCCAATGGACAGAATTTCTTCCTCTCCTCGCCTTGTGATTGTGGATTCGTCCATCGATTTTCATTCGGTATGTTCTAATGGACCTTCACTATTTCTCAATTTTTTTTGTATAGATTCGATATTATTATTAACTAATGAATTTAATAAGGAAGTAATTTAGAGTATATTAATATATAGAGATAACACGAATATTAGGTTATAAGAGAACATTTTTTAGTTTTTTTTTAAATAAATAAATTGATTGAGACTATGCGGTTAATTGCGGTTAGAACTGATCATGTTTTTAAGTTGGTGGTCTTAGAATTTTAATCAAAAATAAACGTAATTGCAAATTAGTATATACAACCATTGTCAAATAAATTTACATGAGCTGTGTGGGTGACCGGAAGAATTGCGAAACCGAAATTGGCAGCGTGGCCATTTTAAACTAATTAAGCTTGAACAATATATATTGCTGAACTATATGACAAATTGAAGTTATAAATTAAGTTTTTTGGTGGGAAAATGGGTTAAGTAGCATATGATGTATGATTAATCAATAAATCTCAAGGTTTACATATCTCCATATTAATGGCGAGGCTGTTAGGCTATTAGAAAATCAATTGGATTTTTTTTTGATGATGAACAAAGTTTATATTGTGTTGGAAATTGTGCTCCTTTATAACTGTTGTGGGTACTTGTTTACTGTATGCAAGACATGAAGGAAAATGAAAGCTGATAAAGGTAGTACTATAATAGTTAGACAATATAAAACTACGTCAAATGAAGACAATTGAAAAATTAACATAATGATGTAAGTTTTATTCAATTATATATGTATTAAAGTTTCATTTGTTTTGGTAATTACTTAAATTGAGCCTAGTTTAATTATATAAAGTAAAGATGATTGCTCATTACCACCTTGGAACATGATTGTGTAAATCTAATGGTCTCTCGAGTGTTGATATGGTTGTTTTGGAAGGTAGGATTGGGAAATTTAAAGTGATTGATTGCCCGACGCATGGGCTGTCCTGCACCATGATGATAAATATATATTTCGATACTTGGGAGATATTTGAGCAGGTTAGAATAGTCCAATTCTTTAGGGAAGTGCTGCCGAAAAAAATTCCACTAGCTAGACATCTCTTAGTGTTTTAGTTTTAATTATGTCATTAATTTAATAAGTTTATTTAGAATAAATTCTATTAACTTAAACACATGATAAATGAGTGCTCTAATTATTTTTATTATTATGTTATGTATTGTTTATTTTTATTATCATTTGATTTTTTATCATTCATTTTTTGTGGTTAATAGTATTTATTTAATTATTTATTGCATTTGAGAAATGGCATGTCTAGTGTGGCAGTTCTCCACTCTCGATATTCAATGGATCATTTATGTCCGCATCTAATTGTAATGCTGGTTGAATTAGTTGTGTTGTGTATGAATAACTATGCTTTGATTCTTTATGTGGAGTTGGGAGAGTGGGTCACCATGGGTTTGTGTTGCGACTGTATACTTGTTATTATGGATTCCTGATTCTGATTTCTGTTAAAGCCGGGTAAATGGGGAGATCGGCGCCCCGGTGCACTTTTACTGTCTGATCCGTTGATATGGAAAACCACAGGGGCTTCTTTATTGCGCACTGAATAATTCTAGATTTGATCGCAGCCCGCGGTTGGCCTCCTGTTTTGTGAGGCGTCGTTTAAACCTTGATGTCTAGATTGATTGGAGAACGACCGGTTGCCTCCTGTTGGTATGAAAAAGAAAAGAGAGATGGGAAAATAATGAGAGGGCTGGTTCAAGTGAGGATTAGGACCGGTCGGCAGTTATGGGGGATCGGCTTTCCCCCCCCCCCTTTTTTTTTATCCCCATTGGTGCAACGTGAGAGGATGAGCCATGTGGGAGGAGGCCTTCATCGGGGTTCGGTGATGACTCCCTGACCAATTTCCACGTGATGTGATTTATATGAAGATGTTAATAATTGTGAGTGCTTTGGTGAATAGATGCCATTTTGTTGTGACTGTCTGTGTGAGCATTTTATTTAGCGCTAGTCGGATGACTAGATTTGATATATTTATATTATATTGTATGTGGAATACATTTGTGTGAATGCGTGTGTTGTGCAATAATTATTATTCATTAATAACTCACATCTCTTTTGTTTAAATCTTTCAGGAAGTAGCATTTTCTGAATTCCGGCTATAGCTCTGCTCTTTCACTGTTAAAAAGAAATTCTCTAATTTTAGTATTGATATATTAAATAGGTAAATGTCCGAAGGCTTATCTGTATACATCTGTTAGCGAACTCCGCAGTTGTAGAATTTGTGTACAATTAGTCGTGTATTAACATAGACGATATAATTACGTGAGCCCATACTATATTATAAATATAGTGTATTGTAAGCAGGGCGATTTGTAAATTTAGTGTTTCAGGCTTACTACGGGCCTTGGGAGCCTTAAGCTTACCTGGGCCCTAGTGCCGGTCCGGCCCATGGAATCGGGTCGTGACAATATATTTATTTCCTATTTTTGCATTACTTTTAGTAATTTCCAATTGAAAGATAAAAATTTAAAAATAAAAATATGCAAAAGTGAAAAAATGAAAAATACCTCATACTTTTTACCCATTTTAGTCATGAATTTCAGTTTTTCATATTTTTTTTATTTTGTTTTCCTAATTTCATTTTTTTTATTTCTGAATTCTTGTCTTTTAAAAATGTGAAAGCAATTTTTATTTTATTTGAAAAAAAATTTAATAGACCCAAAAAAAAGTATTATAAAAATCAAGTTTCCTCCTTTTGGTCTTGAATTCTTTAGTTTTTGTTATTTTCATTTTGTATTCCAATCTTCAATTTTTTTTTGAAATTTTTATCTTTTTAAAATTGTGAAAATAGTCTTTTATTTTTTTGATAAAAAAATAATTCAATGACCCTAAAATAAAAAATGATCATAATTTGCTCTAAAATAAAATTTTAATTTAATACAACTGAGATATTAAGGGGTTATACTTAAACTTATAAATTGAAATTCAATAATAGCAAAATTAAAAATGTAGTGTAGTTTGAGTTAAATTGTATTAAAACAAAAATTAACCCACCAATATTAGTATAATTTTCAAATAGAATACTTTAATTGGAAAATTTCCCTCTGGTTTGTCTTTTTCATGTTAAAAAGGCGCAGCAAAAGGAATAATGCCACATGTTTAACATCATCATTTTTCCTGAAAACAGAAAATTAGAAGAAAATGAAATACCCCAAAAAAGATGAGGGATGCATGCAGAATACAAAAATAAATAAATAAATAAATAAATCACATGGAATTAGAATATTATATTGGTCCTTTTCTGGTGTAGCCCCATTTAAGTTTTGCCTTTGAATATTAATAAATACCAATACTTACTAACATTTAAAGAAAAATATAGTTTTTGTACTCACCCCATTCCATTTTATTATTATTATTATTTTTCAAAATATAAGTTGTTTAAAAAGTGACTGTTTTATCATAAATCGAAATCGTTTGAATATTTTAAAGAGTAATAGATTATGTTTTTTTAATATAACTCTTATCTATATAAATATATAATTTTTAAGACTTAAATACTTATACAATAATATATTAAAATATAAAAGTGATGACATGATATTTTATTTTTCATTACAATTAATATCTTTTATATTTAAATAAAAATTTGATATTTTTTATTAAATAATGTAGTTATAGTTGAACTAATAAGATTTCATTATAATTAATATATAATAAATATAAAGTTTTTAATTAAATAGTTTTTATCCTTTTAAAAGAACATATGGAGTTATAACAGAGTCATAGTTAATAAAAATTTATTAAATAATATAATTAGATTAAGAGATAGAATTAAAATATTAATTTCAATTCACCAAAATTTATTTCATTAAGATTAAATACTTTTATACTTCATTTAATTTAAATATATGAAAATTTCAAAAGAAAAAATAAATAATTAACTAAATATATCAATTGAATAATAATAATTTACTTATAATAATTAATTGTGCTAATTAATATTTCAGTTTAATATAAATCTATTCAAACGCCAAATATAAATTAAAACCATTTTCTGAAAAATTACATTCCAATTTAATTAAAAAAAATAAAAAAATATTTACAATCGTGCATGACGTTAAATATATCAATTGAATAATAATAATTTACTTATAATAATTAATTGTGCTAATTAATATTTCAGTTTAATATATATTTGAGAATTAAAAAAAAAACTTATAATTTTACTTTCCATCATTTAATTAAAAATATATAAACAAATTATTCAACGCAAATATAAATTAAAACAATTTTCTTGAAAATTACATTCAATTTAATTAAAAAAATAAAAAATTATACAATCGTGCATGACGTAGATATAAGACTAGTTTATATTAAGTACGATAACTATCTTTAAAAGTTACTATTGGTTTTAAGATAAATTACCTTAATTTTTTTAGTATAATTTAAGATAATTAATTATTTTCTTATTCTCTATATAAAATTCTAAAATGATTTATAATTTTGGACAAATAGAGTTTGTAAATTTTTTTTTTTTTTTAGATTGCCTTTTAAAAAACAGATGTTCAGTGACTTGATAATATTAGTCACAACTTGCGGCTAATATCTTTTACCTAACTATTGAACGTATTAAATTTATTGAGTTAACTGAAATGGTGAACTCTATCGTTTTGTAGTAGATTCGTCGTTTCGTGTAACGCCTCAGGTGGAGGCCCACCTTAGCCAATCCCTTTTTGACACATTCGACATATCATTCGTTCATTATACTTCGTCTACACTTTATGGACAAGGCCGAAGGCCTACGAGCATTGGATTTTTATCGATCTTGTTTCGTAAACTACCCTTCCTTCGTTACCCACTACCTTGCAATACGCAGTCGTAAAATTCGAAAACATGCTGGGGCATTTTTGACTATAGATATTTAAAATCCTTGTCCTCTTCATTCAGTACATACTAAAATCCGCTCTATAAGTACCTGGCCACGCACTCACTGTCAGCTCAGTTCGTTTCCATCTCCGTATCAGTCTCTGTTCCATTAAAAACCAGCCAACCGCTCTTTTTTGATTCTCTGATGGTGATATTGATCTTGTACTGAATGTTAGGGTTTGTTTGTTGTTTTCCTTTGCTTCTCCATTGAAATGCTTTGGTTCAGTACTCGATTTGTTGTGGTCTTAAGGTGTGTGGGAGTTTTTGAAGAATATATTTCCAGCTCAAATTAGGGATTCGGAGACGGATCTGTTGCGAGAGACTTACTATGATGTATGAACTATGATCATTCTTTGGTTTTCGCTTAAAATGATTCACATTTCGGTCTTAGTTTTTCTGGAAATTTGAAGTTTCAAAACTGCTTTTACACTAACTTTGCCAAAAATTTTCTAGAAAATTATGAATTTTTCTCGAGAAAATTCTTTCATGAGTTTCTAAGTCGGTCTCTCGTCTGATTTTGTGCATTTATAACTTTTATCAAGAGTTTTTACACTGTTTTTCAAGATTTTGTAGGGAAATAATTAGGTTCTCCTAGAGCGCTTCGTTTCTTTATCATTAATCGTTTTCTAGTGAAGCTACTGACTCGGAATTACTCGAATTTTGCAGGAAATGCTGAGACATTCACTCATGGACGTAGCCAACTCGATTCAACAAAGTGTCTATTCTCCTTATGGTGCAAAAGCCCCATCAAATGAAGATTATGGTCTTGAAAGCTTGAAATCTCACGAGAAGGAAGCTAATAGCGCTACTGAGTTCGAAACGAGCCTGATTAAATCAATCATACATGATGACAAGGCGCAGTTCAATTCTCTCTCAAGGTTTCTCCTTGATTCTAAGAACTTCTCCACAATGGATCGAATAATTGTCTCCAAGCTTCTCCACCTCTGCTGCTCGTTTGATTCTGTCGACTGCGCTACGTCTCTGGTTAGCGGCGAGCTAGGAGTCGTTCCGTTGGTAAATGAGGTGGATTCTGATGGGATGTCACCGCTGCACAAGGCGGCCATGTCTCATTCCGCGCGTTGCGTGGAGTTGCTGCTAAAGAAACGCTCCCGTACGGACCTGAAGACAAGAGACGGACGCGGACTGCTACCTCTGGAGCTATCCCTGTCGAGAACCAGGTAACGTCCAAAAGAAAAACGTCGTTTTCGTTTTTTGAACAGAAAGGTAAAAGTTTAGCTTTATTTTATCAATCATACAAGAGAACTAGCCTCATTTGGCAATGCTGCTTTTTCTATTCTCCGCTTTATTCTAAAACTTCTGTTCTCTGTGCTCTAATTGTTTTCATATTTTTGATGGAGAATTTTGACTTAATTGATTGCTTGTGGCTTCAGATTGGATGTGATCTGGAGCTCGGAAGATAACTCCGTTGAAGAGTTAGTCGATCAGCTTAGTGAAAAGGTATTATTTTGGTACGAAAGCGGTAGAAGAAAACACTAAAAAAGTGAATATTTTTATATGGAACCTTTTCTTTTAATGAAAAATATAGAACTTCGAACTTTCTATAATAATTAATAGTTTTTTTTAGAAAAGAAAATAAAGAAAAAGGGAGAGTAATGACTAAGGTCAAACGATGTCCAATACCTTATTTTAACTAATAAGGAGAGGCCATGAATGAGGTGGATTCTAATTTCTAATCCAATTCCTAAGCTGCCAAACATTTTTTTTTAACCTATTTGTTCACAACTCATTAAATTTATTGAAAAATAATCACTTTCTCATCGACTAATTGACTGTTTTCTCTACAGGATTTCACCGCTATAAAGCTTCTTAGTGAGAAGACAAAGGAGATCGAAGAGGTGGCGTATGCGAGCGCCATGGAAGGGCGCGTCGTGGATATAGCTTGTTTGCTTGTAGTAGCGGCACAGAAAGTAAATGAATCGATGTTGGAGTTGCACAATGCTGATTTAAATTCCAAAGAGAAGACTACCATTTACGAGTGCGTGATCAGAGAGGCATTGGGTCTTGGCCGTGCTGAAAGTGCAACCCCACCCAAAGCCGCTAAACGGAACTTTGCTCCTAGCAAGAGCGAGAGTACCGGCAAAAGGAAGCTTTTGCTTTGCGTGATTGAGCTGCTTCAGCTATTCGGCGCCGTTGCGCAAGCCAGTTGTACGGACAAAAGGGTGACGTCACCCTTGATCTTGGCGTCGCTGGTGAGAATAGCTGCTTTATTTCTTTTATTGATGATGATGAAGAGCAATAAAAAAAAAAAGAATTAAAGAATAACAGAACATACGGATAATCCATGTCGTTGTGCATTGGAATTAAGAAATGGACACTGATGCCCTAGCAAGTAGCAATCGTAAACCGTCTGTGCCAAGTCAGATAATTTTCTTTGTGGACAGTGGGCATTTTCGTAAATCCGCGGCCCCACACGATATCCAACTGCTTTTGGATTTAACCGTTTATAATGACGAATGACAAAAAACAATGTCTTGCAAATTCTTTCAACAGAGTTTGTGGTGGACTGGACACAGTGACGCCTTTACCTGTCCAAGAGAGTTGGGTGTTTTATTTATACTACGGACACAATTATGAGATATATATATTTCCTTTTAATATTTAAAAATTAATTTAAACTATTCTATTCCTTATAATGATGAATCTATCAATTTATTAGTACATTTTTCATATAAAATTTTCAAATTTATACACTCTAGTTACTATTTTATTATATTATGCTTTTTTTTAAAAAAAAAAATTGCCATGGCCTTGTCATGTATCTATCTCCTGGTTCTCTAAAAAAAAAAAATTCAATTTCTCAAAATCTAATATTTTTCTTTCATAATGATGTAAGAACTAAAATTTCACAATAAGCTGATATTTTGAGTGCTTGCCACGTCTATCACCACGACATTATTCATATGGTTATTAGTCTCTATATCTGGCGTCACTAACATTTTCAGAATCATGTCGTAGTCCAAACTGTAATTTGTGACTTGGTGCCCATGCCTAGCTCACTTCAGCGAGCTGTGGTTTCTTTTCATTTGCATTTGTTCTGTGTAAGCCACTGTGATAAAAGCATGGCCAGCCAGACAATCATCTTCGCGGTAGTGTTTCTTCAACAACCTAGAAGATTGTCTGTCTTAACTGTATAACAGTATCACTGAATATGTGTGTGTATATATATAAAAGGACTTGTACAAATTAGAAATGCTCGCTAGTTTAGAACTTACCTGGAACAATGCGAGGGCATAAAGTTTTGGAACACTTACTCCCCCTTTTATGTGCATCTGCCATAGACAGCCGTTTAGACTGCATGTCATTCTCCACATCTAGAGTTAAAATCCTACACTTAATTCTCTCTAGTCCTAATTTATCACTTCTCATAATGCGTATACTTTTCAGCTTAATTCAGCCTGTTTTCCTATACTCTGCTTAATTTCTATTATATCATGCACATGCCCCTGAACTTGATGAACTCTTGTCTGTCATATTAAGTAAGCAATCAAAAAACGCAATCCAAGACAGAGCTATATAAAGATTGCAGGAAATTAAATAAGTAATACATTACCCAGATTATGTTTTCAACACTAGAATAGGGAAGTGCAATATACCATGTTACCAGAAACTGGAAATTTTGCAGTGTGTAACTGTGGACTTTTGTCATTCCCATAGGCTCTAGATGAAGCAATCATTGAATTGCTTATGAAGACCAACATGGACATCAATGATGTGGATACTGAAGGGAACTCTGCTCTTCATTGGTGTCTCAAGGCATCCAAAGGATCGTGTTCTCAGCAGATCAAGTCTCTATTTCTCTTCGTCTTCCCCTCCTTCACATGCACACACAAGCCAGCGCACAGCCATGGGCATGAGGGAACCCTTTTTATAAACTTTCTTGTCGTTTCAGGATTATGTGGCTCCTGCTGAAGCATGGTGCTAGAGTGAACCAAAAAAACAAACTGGGGCTAACTGCAGTCCACATTGCTGCTGCGAATGGTAATTCACAGGCACTTAAGGTATATACATATACCTGTCTAAGGATTTCCTTTCCCAATTTTGCCTGCATTCAAGTTTATTCTTGGCGACATATGTAAAAATTTTACAGTTGAATTTGCTATCCTTGACATTTGCTGTGATTTTGAGCTGACAGGTCCTTTTATCGGAAGACCCTGATAGTGTCAACTCCAAAACAGAAACAAAAGAAACCCCATTATTTTTTGCAGTGAAGAATGACTGTAAGGATTGTGTTGAGATTCTTTTGCGATGGGGAGCTAGCACAGAAGTCTTTAATTTGCGGTTAGGAACTATATATATATATACACACACACACATGACGCACGCCACACTTCATTTAGCCCATTTAGTCAAAAACACCTTTCTTTGTTGAATTATAATCACATTTTCACAGTAAGCAAAGACCAGTGGACTTAGCAGAGTCACAAGAGATGCGGTTCTTGCTTAATGCAACAAATATTAGTCTCAGTAAGTTGAACTGCTACACATGTTCAAAGATTTTATTAAGACAAAAGTAAATAATGGAACAACTTAATGTTACTACATGCAGTCTCATGTGCCTCATTTTAATGTGTAGCAAATTGCGCTCTCCCCGTTAGACAGAAATATACTGCATGGTTACAAGGAAATGAGGTGATCGCAGAGACATATGAAGAGCTTTTGACCATGAGTGATGAAGGCAACACTATTAACAGGTGACAAACTTGTTTAACCCATGAAAACTCAATGGTCATTATGAGATTGTACACAAACACAAATATGTTCTGTCTTCCCAGTTTCATAGTTTTTCTGCCACTTGTGGTTAATAGGACTTGCTCAAGTACAAAGATAGAGGCGTGCAAATACTTTAATTATCCTACTGGATGTGCTAGAGGCAGTAAGTGCTTTTATGCGCACAGTGGAGAGGAGCTTAGGCAGAAGAAGCATGAAACAGACACAATTAATTCATCCACTGCACAGGACCTTGACCGGAAAATTTTTGTAGGAGGCTTGCCTCTGTCTTTGGATTCTGGTTAGGAACCCATCAGAATTCTTATCCATTACATTTTAAGTCATATTAAACTTTAATTATGGAGTGATGATTATTGAAATTGAAGAACTTCCATTTGTTTTCATGTTTTGTGTGGTCATTCTGTTCTTTAATTCTCCAAAAGCAGATTCATTGCAAAAAATTTTTGAAGAGAAATTTGGTATGGTGGATGATGCGAAAATTGTTGGAGTTCAAACAGGAGATAAGATACAATCCAGAGGATTTGGATTTGTAACCTTTAAACACAAGAAATCTGTTTCAGCTGCTGTTGAAGCACACTATGTTGCTCTTATGGGCAAGCAAGTTGAGATCAAAAGTGCACTGCCGAAATGCCTTTTACTGGCTGAGCTTCAGAAGTCACCTTCACAAGATGAACAAGAACAGAATGACCAGCATCTACCACGAGAGCGGACCCCTGAGGTGAAGAGTTTAAAGGAGATGGCGGAGTGGATGACACCTGAAATAATGGCAAAAGAGGACGTGCCCAGTGAGAAGACTGAAAAAGAGATGGCTAGTTGTAGGACCACAGAAGAGGCTAAATCTAAGCCATTATCGTGGGCTGATGCATTAATCTGTGATCAGCAGAGGACATTTTCTGATGAATCTCGAATGTACAAGGAAAACATGCCAACATGGCTCAGAACTTTCAGGAAGTGGCTCCCCGACTTTTTAAAGCAGGTAGTAAAGAGGGATGGAGAATATGCTCTTTCATCTCTGAAAGCAGATTTCAGGGCTGCTTTTGGCCTAGAATTGGATCACACCTCTCTTGGTTTCCTAAAGCTCAGTGATTTCATGAGATCTTTCCCAGACCTTTGCCGCATTGAGTTTGCGCGAATGGGAAAACAGAAACCTGCCAATCACATGATACTTTTTCCTAGCCTTCATAAGTCTCACCATCAGCCACTTGAACCTCCAAAGATAGACATTCAGTCTTCTCATGCAACTGACAGCAGCAGTAATGGAGATACTAACGAAAGTAAATCTGGCTTTCTGGATGTTCAATTGTTGTCTAATGAGAATGATGACTCGACTGATGGCAGCTCTAAGTTGTCCCATCAAATGTCTGATGAGAATCCAGAGGGCTCAGCAGATAGTGTGACCTCCTTTTTTCTTCAATTTTTAGAGCCAGACCCAACCTTTCATGATAGACCATGGCTATATGGTGAATCTGATAGTGGAGCAGGAGATCCTGTTCATGGAGGTGAACTGGGCGAGGAGTTTAAAGCAATGAAGCCCCAGCCGCTAGAGCAACATGTGGTTTTGGAATCCCTTTCCAGAAAAAGGAATAATTCATCTGTCTTCTTTCTTCGTGAATTTGATTTCTACGATGTGAGTACTATACTAATGAGATTTGCCTACTTAATTTTGCAATGTAATTATGATGCTTGGGTTAGCATTTGCATAAAATAAGAATTGCTGGGTGGTATATGCAGAACTACAAGGCAAGCATTGTGCAAGGAAGGTGCTTTAGTTGCAACCAGCATAGGCTGTTGTGGGCCAACTTTCCATGCCAGCACTTGTTGTGGTGTGCTGACTGTAAACCACAGATCACGCAGACGCCCTTCAATTTTGAGCACAAATGTGTGGTGTGTGATGTCAAAGTACAGAAAATAGATTTGATCTCATGGCAAGATCACCATTATACCACAGATAACACAGCCCTCATTGAGTTCCCACCTTTTACTTCTGATTACATAAGAAAGTAAGTCAACTTTGAAACACAATGTGTGTATGTTTGTATGTATGTATTCAAGAATTTTGTTTCAGTTGTATTACGTCTGATGTCTCTATTTTCACCCTTTGTAGTTTGTCCAAGAAGAGAGATCTCTTTTGAGACCCAGCCAATTGGATATTTTGTTGCAGCTACTCTCTGCATAAATAGAAGGCTAAAGCAGAAGTAAATGGACCAAAAAAAAAAAGGAGGTGGTCATAGTAAGTGCGTAAGTGTGATCAGCCGACTATTCCTCTTAATCTGAAAATTTGTACAAAACAGATTACTCCACAGAACTCTGATGTTCTTTTGTGGTGAAACAGAGTTGAGTGACATTGTAAGTGTGGTTGCCTTAGGCAACTGTCAACCCCTTTCACCCATTTACTGATTTCTTCTGACATGCAGTTTGACGAGCATGTATAGTTCTATAACACAAGTTTTTGGATGCCAAGTCCTTTCTTTGCTTTGTAATGCTAGGGCTAGTGTAAAGTTCTGAATCATGGCTACAATGCCTAGAATGGATGTTTTTGAATGCTGCTGCTTCTTCTTCTCCTTTATTACTGTCATTGACTGTACCGGCATATGACAAACTGGATGAATGTATCATATTTGTTTTAGGATTTGCTCTTCTACAGTAGCTCTAGCCAATTGTCCTTACCTAGCTAGCCCATGATAGTGTTTGCTTGTGTTTCCGTTTCAAAAAGTACTCATTTTCCCCGTCTTCACTTGAATACATCATCTGATATTATTATAATGAAGAGTTGGGTATATTAGATTATGTGCTGTTCAGATTCCTTCGGTAACAATCATAACTGCAATTAGTGCTTTCTTTTCTTATTTGTGTTGAGCATAGACAATTGATGGAGCTTAGAAGTGCCATGGTTTTTGGATATGCAATAGTGAAACTGCAAGCAATCTTTACAAGCGCAATTTGGTGGAATCATAATCAATCCATGGCCTTTTTTTAATTTTAGTGAGTTTAAAATACTCTTAGGCATGGACATGGGCACATGCTCAAATTACAAGGCCCTTGCTTTAGAAAGGTTTTTCTCTCATAGCAATTGCATTAAACATAACATGGAATAGCAATAGATCTCTAATAACATAACTCATAAAAGAGAGGATTTTATATATATATCACAGAGAAAGTGGATACACGAGCTCCCTATTTGAATAAAATACAAAAATTTACTATATCAAGTTTCATATGTGATCTCTGAGTTGAAATATGACCTCAATAAAGCGTACGAGCTTGCATTTGCTGTGGTACAAAGGGCTAGAATTTCCTTTCATCACCCACTCACAGACCCTTGGGTTACCGAGTTACCGACCATCCATCCTTGATCCTCTGCCCCTACCAAAACTCAAGGGCATATTTTCAGCTGTATAATGCAAGTTGAGGCTAAAAAACTCATGCACACATCCGTCTGTGACTCTGGATTGGAAGATGATCGAGTCTACAAATAGACCAAAATTAAGATTCATCAGGATGTACAAGATCATTTGATCAGTTCTTCATACTTCCAATATCCAACCAGCATCTACAACCAGAACACATAAAACATGTTGCTTTTATTAAAGAAAATTAAAATAAATCAAAATTCAAGACTCATTGTAATGGCAGGAATTATGTACAAGGAGTTTGAAAAGCAAATAATTTATATTTTACTTTGAAAAAGAGAACATCTAAGCATATAATTCTCCAATTGTCAAGCATGCTTTTCTAATTAACCAAGATATAGACAATTTTGAGAGTAAATCTAATAACATTCCTTCACCCCCAAAGTTAGTCTCTATAATGTACACATTCAATGTAACTACTAAAATAAATCAGACAATGGCATGCAATTGATCAGACGAGGAAGAGCTATTAATCAAGTGCATCTCCAAAGGTAATCTGACCACCAAACTCCTCCCCTACCATCCATCTTCCTTTTTTTGTAGTGTACTAGATTAATACCTGCATGATTGCTTCATTATGCTGTTACCTCCTCTGAACTTTTTCGAAGTGAGTCTCTCTCTTTTCTTCTCCTGCAAGTAACAAAAGAAATGTAAGGGCATCCAGGGATTTAATCAATACCAGTATGTCTAAAATTAAGCCACAACTCAATACAGATGGCCCTATAGTATTAGAATCATCACCATCGAATTAATGTTCTGTGCCTCCACCAACCAACTTACTCTTTAGATCTTTTGATGAGTGACTTAGGCCTTTGATAACCAGTAACTTCCTTATTCTGAGAGCTTGGTTTCCTTCCCTGCCTAGATTCTGGTTTCCAGCGAGCATTGATGAGAGATTGACCCAACAAATCTGCAATTTCAGTTGCCATTTCCTCAGCCCTCTTCACAAATGGAAAAGTTTCCTCTTCAAACTGATGAGACAACCACATATACATGGAAAGAACTTGATGCTTTGTTTCAAGATTGAGAAGCTCTGAGTCACTCTGAGCAGATTCCTTTGGCATGCCTATTGCAATCCCCACAGGGACCTTCTGACTATACAAAGAGGCAAACTTTAAGAGGTGGTACAAAGCTTTTGGGTCTCTCAGATTGACAGGAGCAAAACTAAAGTTGAAACGATCTTCTAAAGATAATCCCCGGACCTTCTCCAGCATATTTGCTACCTTCTTTATATGATCATGCCGACACAAAAAGTATGACCCATCAAGACGGCAGTTTTCACCGAACTTTTCAAGCAGCTTGGGAAAAGTAACATTTGGAAGTTGCCCAGCAAATAATTCAACCTGCTCAAAGACAGGAAAGAGACCCACCTTCTTTACTTCATCAAAAGGTTGTTTTAAACACTTAATCAGGTAATTCAGATCATCCAAATGCAGGGTGGTGGTGAGTCCATCTGGGTAGCGGCTTCCTCTCCTGCCTGCTCTTCCAGCAATCTGCTTCACCTGTGATGCTGGAACTGCAACAATTTTGTCACCATTGTATTTTGAGAGATTATAAAAAACTACTCTTCTAATATTGAGATTCAGACCCATCCCAACAGCATCACTTGCAACCAGCACATCAAATTCATTATCTTGATCATTGAATAAGTTAGCTTGCTGCCTTCGAGTCTCTGGTGGTAAGGCACCATAAATAACACAACAGCGATGCTTAGTATGCTTCTCAATTGCTAATTTTACCTCAAATATCTCTCTTCTTGAAAATGCAACCACACAGTCCCCAGATCGAACATTTCGAAGATCTCCCAACAGGGTTTTTGCTTCAACCACTAATGGTTTGAACCTGCCATAATGGTTTTCAAGCAATTCATCACCGGTTTCCGAACATATCTTTCTGACGATATTCAAGACGCTCGGATCTCCACATAAATGAATCTCATCAGCCTTCAAACCGAGCAGAGCTCTTGTCCATGCATAACCTCTGAACGGATCAGCCATCATCTGGATCTCATCAATGACAGCCACATCATACAATTCATCAGTTGAAACCATTTCCACAGTACAAGCAACATGGTTTGAGAATGGTAGATTTTTCTTCTCTTGCCCTGTATGAAGACTACAGTAAATCCCATGGGCATTCACCTTGTCAAAAACTTCCATTGCCAAAAGCCTGAGTGGACTGCAATAAACACCCTTCTTAGCCTCCATAAATCGTTGCAATGCATTATAAGTTTTACCACTATTTGTTGGACCACAATGATATATAATTTTTCGTTTCATTGCCCGTGCAAAAGGAAACCATGTGTGTGGCTTTGTAAGGTCCGCGAACTCAACCATAGCATGAAACCTCTTAATCTCATCAGGAAACTGTTCTATGCAATATTCAACGAATAAGGGAAAAAGGAACCTAACAGCAGCATCACATGGACCAAGCAAAACCAAGAACGAAGCAAGCTCAGATGAACATTTCTTATAGACAAAATTCCTAAACTTATGAGCAGCAGTAGGGAAAAATGACATGCCAATATAAATTGCAAGAGCTTGATTTGCAGCCCATCCTGAATTGGTAAAATAATTGAATATTTCTTCTAAGGTCTGCCAATCAGACGGTTTCAGCTTATCCTTCTTTTCATGACTTCGAAGCTCACTATATATATCTACGGGATCACGAAATTGCAAATCCTCTTTCCTTATATTTTTGTTGCTACCCATATCTCGGTTATCATTTTCCTCTTCAACAGTCATTGAATCAAGAACAATACTCTCTTTAACACCACCAACTCCATCTTCAATTGCATTCTCATTAACACCTCCAAAACTAACACTTTCTAAAGAATCCACATTACTATTCTCTTCTAATTCTACACTGCCACTATTTTCATCAACCCCATCCAGGGGTGATGAACAAAAATTCCTCCCGTTAATGGGACTAGAAAAGGTAAAATTCATGTTCTTTGAAGGCAACTGGGAATGAATTACATCTATCAAACTTGTAGAGAACTGACGAAAAGGCACATCAAAAGGAGGATTAAATTGATGAGTTTCTAACGCACAGTTGTTCAATTGTCTTAAAGATTGGAACTTTTGATTCGAGAGTGAAAACCTAGCCCTATAAACGTTTCTTTTTGATGCACAAGCTCGAAATAGAAAAGCAAAAGGGCCTCGTGCCATTAGAAAAAACCAACTTTCAAACAAAGGCAAAATCCAAATAAATTCTATTTTTGTGCGTGTAGAGGAATTTATGGAGCTTACCTGAATGAGGACCAAATTGGTTTTCTCATGGAGAAAGAGAGAAAGAAGGGAGAAGAGGGAGGAAAAGAAAAGGAGAGAAAGTGGCGGACAGGGTTAAGCCACCATAAACCCTAAACCTTGGCAGGTTCTAGTAAATTTCAAAGTTGTGCAGAGGATCCGAATGAAACGCGGATCAAGTTCAAGTTCAAGCAGTATCCTGATTCGATAAACCCGCTTGTCTGCCCAAGGATAGACGACGTCGTTGAAGAATGTCTTGCTTCATTCTATTTATAGAAAAATAGGTAGGTTTTATTTTACTTGTCTATAATAATTAATGGAGCACTCATGTTTTACATTGAAACTATGACTATATAACCACCTAATAGGATAACAAAAATTCATTAAACAGATGTGAACTTTGTAATGCTATATGTCATACCAAATCAACAACACTGATCCACTGGAAAGACTTTACTCCCAATTAAGGTAAAATAAATTTTTGTGATTTGTTGCTTTAATTTGTCTCTGCTCTCTTCAGATTACTCTGAGCGTTCGCGTTATATGTTTGTGTTTGTAGGAAAAAGGCCTTCTCCAGGTATTCAAGTTTTTACACAATCCTTCTTGGTTCTTTTTCTGTTCATACTCTTTTATTAGATTTTTAATTTTAACTTGAGCTTCATATATGATTTTGCTTAAATGGGTTTAAGTCTATTGCTAAGAACTTTGCATAATCATACCTCTCTCTGTTTCCTTTTTTCTCGTTTTTTCTTTCTTAATATATATAATATTTTGATTAGTTTCTTCATAGATTTCTTTTCACGGTTCTACAAAGCCTTGGAGACTTTTGCTGCTAAGAAAACCCTTTATTCCGGTTTATTTCCGTTTCCTCACCAATTTATTTACAAATGGGCATATTAATCTGGGGAATAGTTGCTTAAACAAGTTGTGATGGATCTTGACAGATGAGTCTAGTCAAACCATAGAGGATAACCCATATGTAAGAAAGGGGTCAAGGGAAGCATTTGAAGCAAAACCAACAAGTGATGGCGGTCTGTTTCTACGGATAGACATGCCTGGGGTTGCAAAAGGAGATGCTACAGTGTGGGTGGTTGGTGGCGATGTCAGATTCTGTGGCAAAGCAAGAAAAGTGCTATTACACGTGGATCTGACGTGTCGAGAAGTTGTATAAAAGTGAGATCCACAAGTGCGACTCTGTTATTCCGGCAAAAGAATCATTCCGGCAAACTAATTTAAATGGAGACACTTTATTGAAAATTTTTAAAAAATTCACCAAATTGATAGTGTTTTCCGATCAGACACACCAAATCACAGAAACGGATAATCATTTGCCTTTTTCATTATTTTAAAGTTCAGACACTAAATTTAACATTATCCTATATCTAAATTACAGAAACGGACAGTTATTTGCCTTCTTCTTCATTTTAAAATTCAGACACTAAATCTAACATTATCCTATATCTAAATCACAGAAACGGACAGTCATTTGTCTTCTTCGTCGTTTGAAGTTTTGTTTCCTTCTCTTCGTTTTGACATTTCGTTTCATGTGACCTATCGCTTGAAGCATATTAACCAAACGCCAAAAACGATCAGTCAAGTCATTATTTAGTTGGATATTGTATTTGGGCCTTGCATTTGTTAATTTGTCTTGCTTTCAGTGTCTTAATCCACAGGAACGACAGCTCGTTTCCTGTAGCAATTACCAACTTCCTTTCTAATTTAACTAATGGCGGGTTCTTCCAGCATAGCTAAACTAATATGAAGTACAAGGGGGCGACCGTCATTGGAACTTAGAAACAAATGTCAACAATTTCCTAACTAAGGAAAATTTTCCTTCTCATCTGCAGACTGCAGGCGACTGGGAATTTTTCTGTCGTTCACAAATTAGAATGGAAACTTTTCCCTCTCTTTTGCAGAAAATGAGTAAAATCAGAGACTCTCTCATCAAGAACCAGTTAGATTTTAGCATATTAACACAAACCCATTCACAGTCACTTCCCTTAAAGATCCCCATGTGCACAATTCTTTTCCTTTCGTACAATTAATCTATTTTTTGATATATAACAAATTAACAGATATACAGAGGAATAATAGTAAATCCAATGTCAAGAACTTTTCTCCTCCAGCGTGATAGGTAGCTCTAAATTCTCACCACCTCTTAGAATCTTCAACATTACTGTGTCTCCCACACTGTAATCATCCAACACCTTGTATAGCGCTGCTTTGTTTTTAACCTGAAGAAGGAGAAACATAAATATCTCAGCTACAATATGAACCTTTTTTATAAGAACATATAGTAGTTAACTGGAGCATATTCCTAATCGAATAAGGGGAGGTATCGAAATATTGCGAGTCTAAACTCATCACATGTTCAAAACAGGTCCGAAAACAGCTTGCATCAGTAATGAATAATCATACAGCTTCTAGATATGAGAATAGACTGGACAAACAGGCAAAAGAGCAGTTCTAGTAACAGGGAGCTCACAGGTTTGTTATCCACTGCAACGATAATATCCCCAAGAACAATTTTTCCAGCAAAACCCCTTGTAGTTGGAAGTAAACCAGCCTTTGCTGGAAGACTATTCCCTGGAACCTATGGCACCATAAAGCAAATTTAAACAAGTAAATAAATGACCTGAAAGCAAAATTCTGCACGATGTTATGGAGAATAATATTTAGAAAGAGAAAAATTAGGAATCTTTCGATGTGTATGTATCCAACACAATACCTGCAGGATAAGAGCTCCATTTCGAACATTGAGTTGATTTGCAATCAGATCAGGAGCAATCTCCACATTTAAACCAGCTCGAACAACCTAACAAAGATGAACCTCATTAATTAGTTACTTAAAGTGTCATCTTCACCCTTTATTGACAAAATTTTATAAAGAAACAAAAAACTACACTGCTCAAAGTGTGAGAATGTAAACTAACATTAATAATAGCAAAATAACTTACTTTACCAAACTTAATTAATTGAGGTACAATCTTGAGGACCGTTGAGGAAGGGATAGCAAATCCAACCCCAGCTGATGTCCCTGCAGAAAAAAGATACAACCGTTAAATTTCAAATGGAAGGCACATGGTTAGTATAAAAATATCATTCTTTAATCGAGTGACATCATGAAAGCATACATATGAAAAAGTGAAAATATGCATATAAATAATGAGAAAACCTGTTTGCAAAATTAGTCAAAAAAGAATATCATCTACATTATTTCAAATTAGATTATGTTTATACAAATAAAATGAAACTTTATCACAAGATTTACCTGTTTGAGTAAAAATTGCTGTATTAATTCCAATTAGATTTCCTTTAGAATCCAGTAAAGGACCCCCACTGCCACAACAAAAAGAAACCACAAAAAAACAGCAGCAGCACAAAAATTAAGAGGGATATTTATTTTCACTGATACATTGTACACTTTTTTGGTACACTTCCTGAATATCTAAAATAATGAAATCCAAAATAACAAAAAGTCTCAGGATATGATGGCTCATGTTAATATATAATTACATATAAACAGGTGTGTTTTGACTAATTTTTTTTCCATGTAAATCATTATTAAGCATTTCATGGTTACAAATTTATAATGCATATTTATTCAATTTCTTATAAATATAATTAATGCATTGCTTAGAACATATGCCTTGATATTGCTGAGAACTAACCTATTCCCTGGGTTAATGGCTGCATCCGTTTGAATTCCACCACCAATTGTGACTCCAGTTTGACTAAAAATATCTCGGTTCAATCCACTGATTACCCCAACAGTAAGGGTATGGTCAAATCCGAATGGATTACCAATTGCAAGACATTGTTGTCCCACTTTTAGAGAAGCAGATTGTCCCACCTTAATTGGCCTCAACAGGTCTTCTGGTGCTTCTACCTGGAATTGCAAAGATGTTCAGACCCAAATTACAAAAAAATGCTGTACTCAAAAGTGGCTCTACAAAAAGAAAACTGCATGTTCCAGCCAGGGTGAGCATAATGAAATAGCAATGATAATTATAGTTGTAAATTTAGTCAGTGATAAACTAGTAGACACTATACAGAACTGCAAAGCAATCAACAAATGAATGGGCACCAATATCACACAATAGAAGCCCCAGAAATCTACATGAGTCTGGTTATACCATGGACAGGACACTAAAGACTAGAAGTGGGTACGCAATCATTTTGCATAGTTTAGCTAATTGACATGTCTGACGTATTCCTAGTCATAGATAGTATATCACAAAACATGGGCAACAGATTATGGAAATTTCTAAAAATTAAGAGTAGAATTTTGAAAAATAGAAGAAAAAGCATAGGGACAAGAAATACCTTCAAGACCGCAAGGTCCTTCGCACGGTCAGCACCAATCAATTTACCCTCAAAGTTCTTTTGTACCCTTTTGGAAAACCACAAAAATGATAAAATTGCATGCAACAAAAACTATAAAAGGTTTTCCTGTCTGTGAAAACCATGTAAACCAAGTAATGCAGTTCAGTTTACACAGAAAGTCAAAGGGCACCATAAATCTCACCCTTCGGATGCAAGAATATTAACTCGTGCAACAACTTGCCCAGAGCTTGGATTTCTTGAAAGAGCATTGCCTATCACTAGAAATTACAAAGAAAGAACAATTAGCTTTGCAATTCAGTCCATTCAATTTCTTAAAAGGAGTTACCAGCATCTAATCAAATTGAAATATTTTGTTGGCATCTACTGTATACCAAACAAGATTGCTTTTCATTCCCAAACACGAAGCAACAAAAACAGAAGGAGAAAGAAACAAAGACCTCAATATGGTAAACCAAAACGAAAATGGGAAAAAAAAGAGACATGGAAAACTTCAGTATGTTTGCTCATGAAGAAACTACTTGCTGTGTTTTGACCAATCGTAACGATTCGATAAAACACAGAATATATCAGAGAAAAGCAGAAATATTCCATAATATAATCGGAAAGAAAAAAGTTCTATGATTTAACTCAATAGAGTAGATCACCACAAATCACACTAACCACAAGACCAGGACTCCTATTATCCTATTAGCTAATTTATTAATAGAGAAGAATTTGGTTCCCTGAGCCATATATAGTTCTTACCATGATAATTTGTGACAATATGTCCCCATCCATCCCAAACTACTCCAGAGCCATTGCCTTCAGGAATCTGCAAATGAGTACACCAGGAATTAATTTACATATAAAACAACTATAATAAACATCAGCGATGGTTTTTTAATGCTTAATCTGTCAAAATTTCATGACATTGTCAGATTTCTAGATTTCTACAAAATTTTTCTTTTAATTCAGGCAAATCAACTGAGTAAAGAGACAACATTTGAGTGCAAAAATACCTCAACTACACCTGTTACATTTAGTTGCGGGCGCAATGTAACATCAAAAATGTTGACAACAGTATATGTGTTCTTTTCAAATAGTTGAACAATTCTTTCCTGCCAAGTAGCTCATGGTATAAGCACCATACGAATATGAAAGTAACTAATGAAACACTTACTATAAAAAATAAGAACTTGCTGATATAGTTGAAAATGAACCTCAGTAGGGAAGAGTGCCCCAGAAGGAAAAACTGGTGGAGTTACTTCTTCAACTGTCACAGATGGATCCCCTAGTGCTTGGGCTATTATCATTTATCAACAATTTAACATTTATCACACGGGCAGCAAGAATTTGCTGATAAGTACAAATGCAACCACAAACCAGCAAAAAGTTTATGACAAACTGACCAATATGATTAAATGGAAGACTAATTAAAATGTTGGACCAGAAAAGTGACACATTATTTGTTCAAGACATGTGGAATAATATGTGGTGTTGATTTTGAATTCAGTTGGAAACAAAGGACCAGACCAACTAAACATTTTATAAGCTCAAATGACAAAAAGCTCTCTATCAAGTGGAACGGGTACTAGATACATTAAATGCGGGCCAGCCATTATCTATTAGAGCCACTTCATTATCCCAATACCTCTGAAGAACAAACTCAGCCAGCCACTAGTCGCCAGATGACCAGATCCCTAAATGGAATCTGCCTAAATGGTGTATCATTAAAATTTCCTGAGATACATTTCCTTAAACTTCTGGCACTCATCATACCTGCTATATACACAGCATTAACAAGTTGAGTTCACATTAAAATTTTTTGTTTATTTATCCTTTTGTGAAATAACCTCACTTAATTTCAGTTACCAAGAAATTGCAGGTAGTATGTTTCAAACACTGACAAATTTCTCTCATTTAGTCCCTAACATTCAGTAAGACAAAGTGACAAATTTCCTGGAAGATATTGTCATTAGAATGTAACAATTGGAATTACACTATGTAAGGCCTCAAGCAAATTTCAAGCTGAATTGTGCGGACCTGATAAGTACCTTGTAGGAAAATACCAAAGATACATGAACAGACTTGAGATCAACATTCGCCGTGTTGTCACAAGACAACTTTTGAGATCTTCACGCACAAACTCGGTACCATCTCTAACAGCCCTAAACAACCAAAGGTAAGAATTTGCAACAGTTAATATTATAAACAATTGGCAGATGATAGAAGTTAGTGATGAATCTCCTGGTTATTGGACCAGTTCAGTTTACTTATCAATCCCTACAATTGTCAATCGTTACACCCAACTTATCCATGTTGATGCTCTAAAAAGTGAAGATTGAACTCATTACTTTTCAATAATACAAAGTTTCCGCCAAGTCACTAACTAACTTCATCATATCAGTATCTTGATTCACTAGAATTAGACTAATTAAGACTGGCAGATGTCTTTCCTGTACAATACAATGATAAAAAAACTTTATTTCTCATAATTCCAACTTCCCTACATTCATATTGTCTCTAATTACCAAAAGCCAAGATAGAACTCAAAGGCTGGTTAGAGAAAAAACAAAAAGAAAAGAAGAGAATGCAATGGTGACCTGGAAATGGATATGGAGTGGGAAGAAAAGGCATCACTATCGCAATCATCGGAGCAAAAAGAGAGAGAAGACAACCGCTGCCGGCGGCCCAAGAAGAAGCGTCTTGGGACAATAATGATTCCATGGAATGAAGATTTTCGTAAAGACCAAGAATTGCATGCTAACATTTGCATGTCGATTTCTTATGTATTAATATAATGAAAATGAACTTTTTAAAAAAAATCTTGAGAAATGGGTTTAACGGGGATTGGATTTAGAAGGTGGATAGGGATTTTAAAGTAGAAATGCGAGGCAAGAAGATAAGGGTAAGCTAGCTACAGCAACGACAGTTAATGGATTCTTTTCTTTCTTTCTTTCCTGGGTTGAAGCTCGTTAGACGTTCATTTGCCAAAATGGATTCCAACAATATGAGTAATTAATAGTTGGGCCAACAATAGCCCATATTATGTTTTTCTGCTTGGCAATAATATTCCACCCTATCTCGCCAGAGTGGATATGAGTTTGCACAGAACCCAGGAATCTCAACCCATTTCTGAAAATTCTCCAAAATTTTTCATTTTTGAAAAAAGAATGGATATAAATTGAATTGTCCGGTTCTGGATTCCATCTCGAAAGTAATTTTAGATGGCATAATTCTTAAATAAATAATGATTACTACTTCCATTTCGTTAATTTTAATAATTTTGACTTTCACAAGAATTAATTAATATTTCATGGGTATCATATTTGATTCAAAAAAGTCTTAAAATAAAGATTAAACATATCAAACTTCCACCGAAATCATCACATACAACAGTTCTATCCTCACTTTCAAAATAATTTTGAGTATAGTAATTGATTTATCGTATAAAATATGAGCTAACTCTTATAATTAATTTCCTTATAAAATTCAAATTCTTACTCAAATAGGATCCCAATAAATAGAAGACTCGTAATATTTGTAAATACATGAAGAACTCTCGTATGTAGCCATATGAAAAAAAAAAAATCTCCATGCTTCTCTGTTTTTCTCTACTCGTATATTGGATCAAAGTGCTCTTTATAGTTTTAATCTACAAATAATAAATCAACTAAAATAAAAAAGAATTATTTTTTCAAATTTTATAAAATATAATTAATAAACCATCTTAGCCAACAAATTTAAATTTGAATTTATGATAATTTAAAGAATCTAAGAAGAAGATTTTTTTTTTTTAAAAAAAAAAAATATTTAGAAAGAAAAAAAAATTAATCTTGAAGATGGAAAAAATATAGAAAGGGATGAGAAATCCTTACCCCGATAAAGGAAAGCGTAGGAACAACGTTTTCTTTACCCAAATGTTCATAAAAAGACATATCTGCACTTGCACCAGTAAATGTATAGGGTAAGTAAAAAAAAAAAGAATAATAAATTATGCATATGCCCTAGACACACAAACATAAAGGATATTTACCCAAATAGGCATCCAAATAATGATATCACTAAATTACTATTCTAATTTCCAGGCAAAACATAAATATATTTGCTTCATTATACAAATGGATTATATAAATAAAAAGAGCAATCAAAAGAATCTTATCACGAGTCTTAAGGATCCACAACTTGTTTTCAGTACTTGAGTAATACCATGAAAATTATGAAGGATGGCACAATCAGAAAAAGTGTAAGCTCCTCCTTCTTGAACCTGAAAAAAAGATCACTGAGCAAAATATAAAGCCCAAAAAAATAGAAAAAGTGAAGTATTTTCTTGGATATTTTTTATTCGAGAATAGAGAAGATACTATGAGCTAGCTTCAAATCATATGCGGTTATTTTATGCATATACAGACTACGGTAATTTTATGGATAATAAAGTATTCAAAAAAATGTAAATCGATACATGTCTATTTAGAGAAAATAATTTTAAATATATATATATAATTGAAACATAGAAAAATATATAAAAAAATCTAAAATTTTCTAAAAAGAGGAAAAATAGAATGCTCAAAAAAGAAAATGTCACATCAGTAATTTCAAATGTTTTTTATTTCAGGATTATATATATATATATACATGATAGTATTATAATCTCTATTATTTTATATTTTCATTATTATTCTGAAGATTGTAACATCTGCCTCCAAGATCCCATCAAATTCAGTACCTAGCTATTGATTGATTTTGAAAGGTTAATACTTAAATCACAAAAGTAGTATACCCTTTTAACCATGGGCAATCCCCTACATTAATCTTTATTATTTATTAAATGTGATTTTGCCATGTAATTTCGTGTATATGCAAGATTGGTACTCCCTCCATTCTTTTTGTATAAGAAAAATTTTCATTTTGGGTGTTTTTTTATATAGAAAATTTTACTTAATTTGGTAATTTTGGAAACCATGTCAATGCTAAAAGTCTATCTTATTCTTATTTTAGTCATTTGTGAAGCTTTTAATGTGAGAAATTCTCAAGATAGCGGCAGACAAAAGTATAAATGAGCATTTAATGTGAATATATTTTGATAAATGGATTTTTTACATCAATTTCCATCATAAAAAAAAGTATGCTGATATAGATTATTCGAGCACCGATTAAAATGAATTTTAAATAAAAAGAAATTTCTACGGATTTTGCTAAAAATTTTAAAAATTATGCAATATTTAAAATATGTTTTCAATGATCAAAGGCAATTGGAAAGCTAAATAAACATAAATTTTCATATTCTCATACAACTTTCCTAAATAAAAGACAAAAAAATGAATTTCTCTCTATATGTTAGGGCATAAACTTCAGTTTTGTAATTGTTTGTATTACATTCATTCAAGAAAGTATCTAAAATCTCATTAAAGATTGAAAGATAATTTAAGACATGCAATAATATTAGATGAAAAATAAATGATATATTAGGAGGTAAATTACGAAAAAAATGATAAAAATTCGGTTAAATCACTTTCTTAATTTTGATGAACAATTAGTTGTGCCTATATAAAAATAACAGAAGGAATATAAAATAAAAAGCTTGATTTGTTTTTGTGTTGTCCTTAGCTCTTTGCTTCCAAGCTTTAAACTCTAATTGGAATCTTTAACTTCACAATCAAAGAATGTTAACTAAAAACAAATTCCCATTTCAATTAATGGGATTAATTTTTTATATTTGTTTATAAAGGGAAAAAAAAATGCAAAATTAGCAGTTTTTGTTGAAAAGAAATTTGAAAAAAAAAATGTCACAATTAGAAATTAAGAGGATATTGGCTAACCATGATTGACCCATAAGAGTATTTATATCCTTTAAGATGGCTACATTGAATGCTGCAGTGGCCTTCCTTTGGCTCTTACCAAAATAGTGATAAGGTTTGAATAGTAACTTATCATGTAGGCAAATCTATTTTATAATTAAAGTCATATATTTATATTGAAGGGAAGTTGCTTTCAAAGAGATTACCTTCAAGTCTCATTAACATACAGACACAATATATCATATTCAAAAGAAAAAAAAAAAAAATGCCCTAATTAATTTATGATGCCTAATTTATTAAGAGAAGTTGGTATTTGTTGACCTCTACCTTGACAACATGATTTCCATTTTGTCCCTTATGAGACATGCTAGAAATATTTGGATATTTTGAATAGTTACCTTATTATGCAAACAAGCTCATAGCTTAAGTTTCAAATTAAGTTAGTTAATAATCTCTCAATAGATAGAGAGAAATAAAATAACACTAATATGTTTAGAAAGAACACGAGACAGTTGTCCTGTTTTTTTTAATTGTCAGATCCTATATGTATCTAGGTTATACCCTGGTGTATAGACGACAACTTTTTCTTTCAAGAGCTCATAAGACGTAAATTAAGGAGGAATACATCCGTATTTATATCAATTAATAGAAGAAAATAATAATTTAAAGCACAATAAAATACAAAGATAATGAAATTTGATTTTGAGCCAGTTTAAGAAGATCGGCCGGCCAATACATGGGGTTTATAACTTTGATGTGGATTTTCAATAATTATGTTTAGGTCCTTTAGGAGGCTTGAAAAACCTGTGGTTAGAAGAATTTAATTAGACACATTTTTCAATCTGAAATGCAAAACCCTAGATTAAAAATGTAAAAAATCAAGGTTATATTTTGGGAATATCACTAAATTTGGACTTCCCATTTTGCAATTGACCACATGATGTTCACATATTTATTAATGATACTTGCCTTCCTTACAGCAGACATGGTTAGCATGCTTAAGCAAGGGATTAACTCTTAGTTTAGCAGTGCAATGACAATATTATCCATGGCAGTTTCTAGCAAATTCGAGGTCAACAAGGACAATAATGTCTAATTATACAACATATAATGGAAAGTAGGAAATTGAGGGCTGAGGCTGAGATGCAATCCTCAACTAGCTTATTTGGTAAGGTTCGCTTAAATTCAGAGGATGATTTCGCAGTATTATCAATTTGAGCTACGGAAAAACACTTATTAAAAGTGATAATCATAAACTTTGAAACAAGATCAATCTTATATTCAAAAAGGATATGAAAATAATTATGGGTAAAAGAAAAGTTAACAAATATTTTGAAAATAGTGATTTTAAAGAAAAAGAAAATAAGCATCTGAAACTATTATACATCGTAAAATTTTAAAGTAGTAATGACTATTAAATTCTATTAATAGGATCATTTAGTTATTGGTTAATAGTCAAATATCTATTTTGAAAAACCTCTTCTAAAACTCTTTTTTTTAAAAAAAAATAAATAAATAAGGAGGTGTAATTCTATTTAGATCATAGACGTAAAGATTTTGAAGTTCTTCGATACACTCTGCCGAGATTCAATTTATGTTTCAATATAAAATAAAATCTAAAATACCAAAAATTATGCTCAATAATGGCAATGTGACTTTGAACCGTGACATACTTGATATGCATAAAAATATTGAAATTTTAAATAATGTGATTTGAGAGGAAAAGATGTGGCATCTCGAAATGGGGGTCTAGAAAAGATTAATTATAAAAAAATTTTGAAAATGAAGAATGCAAATTTCAATGTTCATGAAATCAAAGCAATTGGAGCTATGCCTTTTGTTATGATCTTAATGGCTAAGTAATAGAAGCATAGTATATTGGAATAGATTAATTCTATGGATGAAAGTGGCACAGTTTTATAATTTATTTATTTCTAATCCTTTGAGCCATAAAATTATTAAAATAAATTAAGTATAATTAACTTGATTGGTAAAAAAAAATTGGCTAATTTGTGAACTAATATATAAATTTTTATTTTAGTTACATACGTCAATTTGTCTTTAGAGTTCATAAATGTAAGATATTTCATGCATCGAATCACTACCTTTTATTTATGAATTTATGCATTATTTTGGTCATATTTAAAATAAATAATTCTCTACCGATAAAATTCTAAATATAAGAAGAATTTTTAATATTACTTCTGATTTAATTTTCGGTTTCTGTTTTCCCATACTAAACAATTGTATCTTGAAAATCAGATAAAAGGATAATTAAAAATTACTTTTTTAGTGGTTTTCCTTCATCGTAAAAATTAACATGCTTTGCTATTTATATATATATATAAATGAGGAAGAAAAGATGATATTAATAAAATTGATCCTAAGTGCCCCAAAAGTATATAAAGAGCTACCTTCATCCTAATCTAAACTTCTAACCATATGATAATAATAACATTATGGAAGACAAGTTTCAAAAAAGTTTGTTTCCTAGTATTTGTTACCATCATATAGCTATTTTTGTTAGCATACAATAAAATATAATAAGCATGTTTCCTTCTCCTTTTGTTCATGTTTTTTAAATTAGGAGTTCAGACATAATTTTATAATGTAATCTGATATCAGCAAGTCGAACCAGCAAATACACATAAAGTAGTTGAGCTGCTCCCCTCTTACAATTTGGTGAACGGTCCCACTTTACCTTGTTACAATTCTCAACACTCTCATTTCCCAAAATCTAAACAATTAGCCATTTTGCACCATTTCTTCTACTTTGATTCTATTATAACTTACTGCTAAATAGTCTCTAGAAGAATTATTAACAAAACCACGTTTGCTGATAGCGTAAAAAACCTTTACATTATACAGTTTTAAAGAGTAATTACACTTTCTGACTCTAAATAAAAAATCATTAACGATTACGAAATTAATAGTAATTACATTAATACAAACAAATAGTATATTCTTTAACCAAATCTATCAATAAATTTTGGGTAAATCACTATGTAGTTCCTCCCATCTAGTGAATTAACTATTTAGTCATTTATCATGCAGTTCCTATAGTTAATGACTGTTAAATAAAACTACTAATAAATTTTGGATTTTGAGATCGGGCGAAATTAACTATTTAGTTATCTATGGTTTGAAAAATATACTACACTACTTAATTCCTATGGTTTATAAACTGTCGAACAAAATGATCATTCTGTCTAAATTTTACACATTACCATTAATTTTCAATTAAAAGACAAAAATAGCCCTCCGACCCAGATAGACCTGTTAGCAATTGGGTTAATTATGAAATGGTAAATGGTTTACAATTAGGTTAGGGTGGCCCTACTTTTCCTATGTTAACGTAATTAATAAAAACTTATAAGGAATCTCCTTAAAGTCCAAAAATAGGAACAGGGACAGGTCACGTGCTCATATGAAGCAAAGAGAATGGAATAGAAGCTGAAAAAGAATGCAATAGAAGGGCATTTTTGGATCCAAGGAAACCAAAATTTATATTTTTCCCAGGAGAATCTCATAGGTTGAATAATATAAATGTTAAATGTAATTGAACCTTTTCTGTATTGTTGGGAGTTGGTCCAGCCAGCTTCCCCATATTAATTAACTAGTCTACAAAAAACAATTCAAGAAAAAAATTATTATTTAAACAAAAAATAAATTATTTTTTTAATTATTACTATTATTATTATTTTAAATAGCATGACATTGAAGCTTGGTTTGTCATCTTGTCTTTGATTTGTTTTGAACATAAAAGCAAGAGTTTCCTTTTCCATAAGAATTCAAGAATTAGAAAAAAAAAAAAAAAAAAATTATTTAAACAAAAAATAAATTATTTTTTTATTATTACTATTTATTATTAATTTTAAATAGCATGACATTGAAGCTTGGTTTTGTCATCTTGTCCCTTTGATTTGTTTTTGAACATAAAAGCGAAGAGTTTTCCTTTTCCATAAGAATTCAAGAATTAGAAAAAAAAAGAGTGGTAGGAAAAAATTTGATTCACAAATCCCCAAAATACTGCTAATTTTTAGTCTTTTTGAGATCCTTTTAAATTGGATATAAACACAACTCAATATAAAGTTCAAGAAACAAAAAATCATAGAAAACAAACTACTATTCTTGGTAGTTTAGCTTGGCTCAAATTTTTCCAACCAGAAATCTTGATTTATCTCATAAACAACACCTCTCCATTGCAAGTTACCCTAAAATTGGCGGCCTAAGCTTCGGAAGCAGACTCCTTATCAGGAAGCATATATTTAGGTCTGCATTAACTGAACTGTACTATGCACTAATTCTCCCATTCATTTTCACTTTGAAATTTTCTCAACACTAATAACAACCGTACTTGTAAATTCTAACAAGTTTTCCCTCTAAAAAAAAAAAAAAAAAGAGTGTGAAAACAATTTGATTCACAAATCCCAAAATACTGCTATTTTCTAGTCTTTTGAGATCCTTAAATTGGATATAAACACAACTCAATATAAAGTTCAAGAAAGCAAAAAATCATAGAAAACAAAACTACTATTCCCTTGGTAGTTTAGCTTGGCTCAAATTTTCCCACCAAGAAAATCTTGATTTTCTCATAAACACACTCTCCATTGCAGTTACCCTAAAATGGCGGCCTAAGCTTCGGAAGCAGACTCCTTATCAGGAAGCATATATTTAGGTCTGCATTAACTGAACTGTACTATGCACTAATTCTCCCATTCATTTTCACTTTGAAATTTTCTCAACACTATAACACCTACTTGTAAATTCTAAGTTTTCCCTCTTCAACTCTCTCTGTACTTGTAAAACTCAAATACACTAGTAACTGGAGAGATTGAAGAGGGGTTCATGGAAGAGAAGAGTACTGATCTTGATAAGATGGATGATGTTATGTTGCCTGGATTTCGGTTTCATCCAACTGATGAAGAACTTGTTGGTTTTTACCTTAAAAGAAAGATTCAGCAACGATCTTTGCCTATAGAGTTGATTAAGCAAGTTGATATCTACAAATATGATCCCTGGGATCTTCCAAGTAAGATCATTTCTCTTTCTCTTAACTTTTCTTTCTAAGTACCTTACCATTATCTCATTCTTTCTTCGTTCTTGCAAGTAGAGCTGGCGACTACAGGGGAAAAAGAGTGGTATTTCTACTGTCCTAGAGACAGAAAATACAGAAATAGTGCAAGGCCTAATAGAGTCACTGGAGCTGGGTTTTGGAAGGCGACTGGAACCGATCGTCCTATTTACTCTTCTGATGGGACTAAATGCATAGGTTTAAAGAAGTCCTTAGTGTTCTATAGAGGTAGAGCTGCTAAAGGGATAAAAACTGACTGGATGATGCATGAGTTTCGCTTACCTTCTCTTTCAGAACCGTCACCACCAAAGAAGCTCCTAGACAAAAGCCTTCCTCCAAATGTATTGATTCTGCAATATTTACTCTATTTTCCTTAATTAGGATCTGATTAGGTTTCAAACTTTGTCTGTATTTACTAATATTATCAACTTCATTTTCACTTTGGCTACAGGATGCATGGGCTATTTGCAGAATATTCAAGAAAACTAATTCTATGGCACAAAGAGCTCTTAATCATTCTTGGATGTCTCAAATACCAGACACTACAGCATCTAATATACTCAATCAAGGAGTACAACGCTGCACACAATTCAGTCCAGAGAACATTTCTTGCACAACCGAAATCGCATCAGTTTTCCCGATATGTTCTAATAATGACTTACAACAAGCATCCTCTGCGAGCTTTTCTGCTATAGATTTATCCTCTTACAACAAACCTATGACTCCTACTTCAGTTGACAAGCCATCTCTATTTCCTCTTACAAATGGAGACCTCCTTCATAGCAATTTTATGTTTTCACCACTTGAAATTTCAGGTCATACCAAATGTACAGTTGATGCCTCTTCTTCTTCTATGCTATTGAACCCTGCATTAATTGGTGATATTAGTAAAGTTTCTGAAAGTATAAACTTTGAAGGGTCACATAATCAGCAGTTTAATGGATTCGCAATCAGTTTATCTCAAGATACACAAGCTAATATGGGTGCAGAAGAAGATGAAGCAAATTTGAGGAAAAATTCTAATGGAATTTATGATAATAACCAATGGGGAACAGTCCGATCGATTGGATTTCCCTTCAGTTTGCCCTCAAATCTGCCATGGGATTCACCACCTTGTCCGAGTGAGATGTCTTCTACTTATTCTACAAACAAATGCTACACTTAAATCCTACTAATCAAAGAGGATATGGGATTTAATTATAGCATTTTATATTTATATATATATCCTGCTTTGGGTGTTCAGTTGGAGCTTGATAGAGTCCAAAATGTACTATGTTTGCTATGTTATTGTACAGTTTTTATATATTCCAATCATACAGACTGGTCTAAATATTTCCCTTTATTTGTTAACTTTTCTTGAGCGTTTTTTTTTTTCACTTCACTAATTGAACAAATGAGTTTGTCTAAGCGCTAATAACTAATAAGCCTTTATGGAAATTAACCAGATGGAATTGATAAATTTCCAAAATGGAAATCAAATCACAGATAAATGCCTAATTTTTCAAATTCAGTGCTATATAGAACAATTGGTAACAATGTGTAAGTAACCAAAGAGCAAATACAAACAAGCAAACAGATAAAACAACCAAGGAAGAAAAAAAAAAAAAGGAACATTAATCGCACAGAGCAAGCAATTATTAGAATTGAAAATAGAAATTAAACTTACCATTTGATGGAAGAAAAGTTTCCATCAAGAATCCTGCAAGGTAGTACCTTTGCAGTAAGATCTGTTATTTCTAATTTATGCGCTGCTTCTTCTCTTCAATGCTTTTGTCATTCTTTTCTAGGTCCTCAAGATCTTGTTGATACAGTTTTGGTCTTGTATGATTTATACCTTGCAACTTGTTATGCCAAATTAATCGAAGGAAATTTTCCAATGACGGGTGAACTTTTCCTTCGTTTTACTATGATGCCTCCTTAGAAAGCGATGTCCGTTTTCCACAGCTAAGGATTATCATACCAAATACGTACAAGAGTTCCTCATGGCTGTTTCCATTTCACCATAAATGCACGAAACATTAATGGCTAGGACTGAAGATATTACCGGTAAAAGTACAATGACGAAAATATCAACAGGGACACAAATTCAGTTGGGTGTTTTGTCAAACAGATAGATTGCATTAACCATTGCAAGGTTTCTACCTTACCAGAATATTTGTAGTAGGATTCAATAACGATTTGTTGCAAAATTGTTTCTGCAGTGCTATATAAAATCGATATTGGATTAGGTCGGAATGCGTTCAATTAAAACGTAATATTGTAAATCAATCCTTCAATTTTTACATTTGAACGACGGAATCACTTTAGGCGACTTCACATTAGCTGTTTTTAAAAGACTGTCAATTATCACTACACTGTTAAAAGAGTAAAGCAACGTTCTTGCCCAATTTCGAACTGAAGTGCTCTACTTTAGATGGTAGAATCTAATTAACATCTTACTAAATCAGTTATAATATCTCAAGCAGGACAGTAAACAACAAAAAGCAAAAATTATCACATAAAACAGCTAACAATTAATAATTTTCTTGTCAAAATGAATCCAAAGAAAAAAAAAAGATCGTACGACAAACAATCAGGTATCCAACAAGCTGAAAAGACAATCTCCAAATTCAAATTCCAAATCTCATTGTCATTAATGGCCCAAAATTTCCCTCTAACATATCTTCTAACTCCCAATTCCTTGCTTTATCATTTATTAAGTTTAGCTCCTTGAGGCTTGCTTCTCCTTTGCCTTCTGAATCTTCAATACCTTCTTCACAATCTTTTGCTCTTCAACCAAAAAGGCTCTGATGATCCTACAGACATAGGAAAACAGCTTAATCCATCAATATCCCTAAAAAGCAAGAAAACAACAATCAATAATTATTGAGTCAGGGCTAATCTACCTCTCCCTGACAGCACCCCCTGATAATACACCACCATAGGGACGATTGACAGTGCGTCGGTTCCTGGACAATCTAGATCTCTTGTATTCAGCAGGTCTCAAGTGAGGAATCTGAAAATAAATCCACATTCAACACCATCTGTTTAGGGCTCCAGCAGGATCTTATGAAGAGTTTATAACTCATTAATTCGGTATTATTAATCAACTCAAATAGCAACAAGGCATAAAAACTCATCAAACAAACATAAAAATTGATTGACAAAATATGCAAGAGAAGCTAGCATTGTTTACACAAGCCAATAAAAATTCAACACTCTACAGGAACATTGCTAAATCAAGTGTAAAACCAACATCTAACATTTTTGAATTCAAATTCAACACTTCTGTAAGATATCCAACATAAAAGCTCAAAATTTTTGGAAATTTAGAATTTTACACCATCTTTCTGCACCTCTGTTGAGTTTCCAGTCCCTGGCAAAAACTCATTCCTAATCCTATTTCCCACAAAAGAAACTCTCATGCAATGAAGTTATCATATATCATCAAGTGCCCCAATGAGCATATTAGGCAAAAGCAGCTCAACTGCCCAAGCATATTTCCAAGATAAGCAAAACGCCCTCTAACATAGATTAACTTTTGTTCATTAAGATTGAATAAAGAAAGGTTTGGATTGTTTAATTTTGTCAACCATGTCATCCAAAATCCGTTAATAGAAATCATTATATGCACATAACATAACAGTGTTGAACATGATGTGTCTCCAACAGTTCAAAACAAAAATAATAATTTCACATATCTAAGAAGTTATTTTCAGAAATTTATCTTTAGGTATACTTAACTCTCTTTATCTTTAATGGTCCAACTTTCTTTTAGAAATTGGGACACAAAAGATACCAACAACAGATTATGACCAATGGTTTAACAGTTGATTAGAATATTTGTCCTACTCGATCAATACTTAAAAAACTAAACAAATTAACAAATGGTTAGCAATGCATAGCTCAAATCCCTGCTAAAGTCATAAAGTCCAATTTCATATTAGCTGGAAGTCCAACTATCTATGGTCCAACATGAAATGCTATACATGAAGCAACACCATGAAAGCCCAATTGAAGCATCCACGAGGAATATATCACAATGTAAATCTTCTATATTGGCAAAGTCACATAAAATAAGTACAATTACTAAAACTATCCTGTCATACAGATCAATCAACAAAAAGCCTACAAAACAATAGTAATGAAATTCAAGCATGAAAACTTAAATTAGATGATCAGAAGACATACCCCTTGAATTCTCTTGCCAGTAACGGGACATTTAGGTCCACTTGCTCTCTTTTTGGTGGTCTGGTAAACCAATTTTCCACCTTCATTTCAAAGAAATCCATTAACACAGTCATTTGCATTCTATAACAAATAAATTTCAACAAATTCATATTAAAATGGAAATATACCAGGGGTCTTGACGACGCGGTGCTGGTTAGATTTGGTGGCGTAGCTGTGCCTTGTCCGGTAAGTGAGCCGCTGAACCATTTTTGCCCTTCTTTGAGCTTTTTCTCAGTCTCTAAGCTGTCTATGTGCACAATGGCGAGAAAGATGGAGACCGAGACCAAAAGACTTGCAAATCTATGGAAAGTTTATAAATAGGGTTCTGTGTATATAAAACCCTAGATCTGAGGGCTGATATTGTGAGCTTTGTTTGATTTACGGTTATGATTAAATGGAACGTGTTTCCTGTGGTGAAGTTTCCTAATTTATAAAATAGGCGACAAATTTTTCTGTATTTATAAAGTGAAACTTATAGCTTTTTAGTTTTCGCTATTCAGTCCAATTTAGAAAGCGTAAGCGTAATTCATCCCTTGCTTTTTATATCCGTCCCAAACTTCATTAATATTAGCTGAATACTCCGTGAATCCGACCAAACCTATATAATTTTATTATATAAATTAATAAATTACTAAATAATATTTTTATAATTTAATTAATAATTTATGTAAATATAAAATTAGTATTTCTATAAAGTATTTAAATTCATATTTATAAGTTAATTAATCAGATTTAGTTATTTATTAATATAAATGAATTTTGGTGGCAAATACCTAATATATAAATTCATACTCCTTATCCAAAATATCCATGCACAACCCAATTCAACTTGATTATTTTCAGAACAATATGTAAATCTATATATTAATTAAAAGTGGAATCAAAATGAGTTTAACCTTAATTAAAAACTAATTATATAAAATAAATTTACAACTATAAAAAATTTAAATATTAAATTTGTTTTGTGAATCACTTGAACTCTGTCATTCAAATTACTCAAGTTTGACTAGATTAAAATTGAGTAACTCGAATATTTATAATGTGATATTGTTGTTTTATTATCCATTATATTTGCCATGGTAAAACAAGAAAAAAAAAAAAAAAAGAAACAAAAGAAGTATAATATCAGTTCTAACAATGGATTCTTAACTATATCCTAAAAAATTTTCTAAAAATCCTCCCTCTGCATGTATAATCAAGAACTAGAGTATGGAAGACCATTTACAATGGTAGATAGCTGAGATACATACATCATCAGCAAGGAAAAAGCAAAAATGAAGGCTCTACATGTATCTTCCCGGTAACAAAATTAATCTTGTTCAATTTGTTGCGACACCACAGTAGTTGATCTGTCGTAATTTTCGACATGTTGAGAACTCTTGACACCAACTTCATATCCACTTGAGAGAAGAAGTAGAGAACTTGATCTGAACTGCTCTCTTCTTGATTACGTTTTTGGAACTTCTTCAATATGCAGTTTCCACTCCTCAATATGTCTTTAAGCTTCTTCTCCTTCTGCATCGAATCCAACATAACAAGAAAATTATAAAACCAGATGTAATGTTTAGAGATTCATTTGGTATTTCCTGGGTAAGCTCTGAGAACAGACTCTCAAACTAATTACCTTTTGCAGATTTGTTCTAACTTCTGTCAGAAGCTCTAGTTCTATAGGGTCTTGGGGTTCGATTTGAGTTCCCTTTCGACCTTTCAGAACTACGTTATGTGCATCTTTATCAGCTCGAACGAATCTCCAGAAAATTCTTATTGATTCTTCCATGATCTCTACTAGTTTATCACTTGTAATTGCATCATCATCGTCCTTTTCTTTTCTTCTTGCCCTCCTATCCTTTATACTGTCTTCTGCAGAAAAAATTAACCTTTTCTGTTAGTCAATGCCTCACTTGATTTTTGCTGCAAAATCAAGATTAGTATGCAAGGCCTCAGTTAGCTCAAAGGGTAATTCTCGGAACCATTAGATAGTATGTCAGTATCTATTTATGAGATTTTTACCTCTTATTACTGGAACCTGAAGGAGATTACGCAAAACGCAGCGATTCTTGACATAATTTTGTAATCTTGGACCTTCAAAAGGCTCATTTTCTATAAATCTCTGCATAAGCACTTGAAACTGTTGAAATTCATCTGCAACTTCACTGTATCGACGAATCCCATACGGATCAGAATCCCATATCTCTAATGCCTTGTCATATTGCCAATGAAGGATTTCCCATGAAAGGCACATTTGACCAACATAAACCATTTCCAAATCACTATGCAGTTCTCTAATGAAGGTCATCATTGGATCAGAAGTAGACTTTTTTCGCTTGCCTATCAGGAACTTCCGTGAAAAAATTGATGTCAATGCTGGAGCTGAAGCTTTATGGGTCGAAAATGATTTAAGTGGGTCCTTTGATTGAAGAAAGCCTGTAGATTTCCATTAAACACAAAGGATAAGGCATTTCATATAAAATTTAAACTCTAATGAAATAAATGACAAATTAATATTTAACCATAGCTCAAAAGTCATTCCGCTCATGTTAAAATAAGTTTAATCACAAAAAAAGGAATGCGTAGAGCATTAAAATCAGTGGAAATTTTGTATATTTTAGTCGCAGAAAAGAATTGAAATTTAGGTAAAACCATTCCATAATAAGATAATAGGTTAAAGGAAATGTTGTATCAAAGGTTGGTAAGATAACATTAAATATAATCTAGCTAAAAGCAACTTCCACTAGATATAAAAATTTGGATTTATGCATTGAAAAATCGTGCTAGTTAGTTTCTCTTTTTAGCTTTGATGGTTATAAAAATAATCCAAGTAGCTTTGGATACAAAAAGCATGCATGACCAGTAAGCACTCTTGAAAGCCAAAAAAAAGAATGGAACTGGCCTAATTTAAGAATGTTTTCTATTGTTAGTTCTATACATTAATTGCATAATTTGTTAATATATATATATGGACATGTGAGTGGTAAAAAATTTAAAAGAAAAAAGAAAAAAGTTGGTAACATGGTAGAAAATGTAAGTTTCCATCCACCTTCTACCTTTTGTGTAATTATTACTCTAAATGCAAGTTCATGCTTTTGTTTAACCAAACTAAACTAGATTTAGTGGGACATCACCCATAACTTCTAAAAGACTACAGAAGGTAGGTTGTTCTATAGATGCATATTCACTACATGCATTTTTATCAGTAGAAGTGCTTTTTGTTCATATTTATCCAAAAAATAAATCAGAAATAAGTTAAAATATTGATAAGGATTTGTGAAAAAGGAACATACCCATTGCATACATTTTCTGGTAATTCAAGATATCGAATTTTCGCATCCGTTCCCTATAGCTCTTATAGAATTTGTGAAGCTCACCCATTCTATCTTCATGTTGAAACTTCTCATCAATCTTCCATGGCTTTAAATCCTCCATTATTTTTGGTGACTCGTCTTCTTCTAAGATAGTTGGCAGGCCAGTAGCTCTTACCTTTTTAAGCTCCATCTTCAGTTGCTCAATCAATTCTTGATGTTCCCACAAAATTTCCAATCCATTTGAGTCCTCAGAATTATCTGAACTATCTTTAGATTCTTCCTTGTCATTGCAATCAAGTTCTTCTTCTTGAATAACCCTTTTACCAAATTCTTGGCTATCGAAATTTTGCATATCAGACTCTGGTTCTAAATTTTTAAGCTCTTCTAATATATCACTGTCTTCGTCTTCGAAATCATCTGGCTCGTACCCTCCACTTAAATTCTGCAAATTCATATTTTCTTCTTCCCCAGTTAATTCTGATTTCTCCCCTTCAATGTCCTCCATAAAACTAAAATCAAAATCAAATGCTTCTTCAAAATCTTTTTCTGATAAAAAGCTATCACTAGTTGAAGCTACAAAGCGACTTATAACTTCATTGCTTGAAGTAATAGAATCGGAGTCAGAATCAGAATCAGAAACTGCAGCAATGAAGTCCTTTTCTGATAGAAACTGAACATGAGCTGATATTTCCTGTTTTGGAATAGACCTTTCAATGCATTTTTCTGGTTCAAGCTTCTCTGATTCCTTTGCTTCACATGCACTATTTGTGGAAGTCTGTTTCATCTCTCTTTCATTCATTATCTCTGTATTGGCAATAGAAACCTCATTAGAATCAGCATATAATTCTTTCACTTTAAAGCTTAAAACTTCTGGTTTCTCCAAGTAGTGACTAGAATCTTTCACAGATAAGACCTCATACTTGTTGGCGGTGGTGCTTGTAGAGGATACAAAATCTGAGACAATCGGCTCATAATTCTCTTTGTAAGTCTGAAATTGAAATTTGAAAAAGAATTTTGGTGTTTCTTCTTCTTCAAATTCATCATTTTCTTTTGTATCATTCGGTTCTGTGCCATCAATTTCTGGTTTTTTAGCTTCAACGATATCTTCCCCCATACAATTGGAATCAGGTTCTGTTTCTTTCATGTCAAATTCTTGTTCTGTACAATTTGAATTATTTGGCTGAGGGAGGTAATTCTCTTTAACCCTGAAAACAAATATAAATAACTGAAATTAATATTGAAAAGATTATCAAACAAATATTTAAAAAGGGCAAAAGAAAAACTGAATACCTGAAAAGGTTCCTATTGATTAGACCAAACAGAGCAAGGAACAGAGCAGAAACAGAGACCCAAAAAGAGGCAGCAAAAAGAAACAATTTTTGGGGAAGAAACCTATTGACAGAGCCCATATTCACCACTCTGAAATGGGTATTGAGCAACAAACTCTTTTGGGAACCTATCAATTTAACCCATCAACTTCCTTTTTTTCAAATTGAAGCAAAACAGAGAAGTCATAGAAACTTTGAATATCTAGTTTGAAATCTACGAACAACAATAGACCTTTCACCAGTATTTAACATAAAAGAAAGAAGGAATGTCAAAATCAGAACATATGTACATGCATGGAAATCTGATTCAGAGAAGTAGAAATCTGACCTAAAAATGGAACATTAAACACTAGAGAGATAGTTAGGCAAGAGTTAAGGAGAGAAAAGAACATGTCAGCGACAGGGGAGAGACGAGAGATTTTTGAGCTTGCTTAGAGCCTCGGAATTCTCGAAACCGTTATGTAATTCGGAATTAGAGAAGAGAAAGATGTTCTCTAGTTGAAGGGTCTGTTCTGTTTTGTCTCGTGTTCTATGTACAAGGGGGAAATGTATTAAATTGAAAGTTCAATCCCATTGAATTGTTGAAAATTGCTAGTTTTAATGAATGGAGTTGAGAATTAACGTCGGTTGGAGATCATTGGTTGAAAAGAAAATTTTCAACTCGGTACGGATATGGGATGAAGAAAAGAAAATCCCCAAAGTTAATAAGAGCGCAACTTTCCTTGTTAGATGCAACGAGTCGTGGGAATTTGCTTAACAGGGTTTTTGAACTTACGCTAAATGGGAAATTTACACACCGAAAATCAAAGAGGAAGGAACAAGGGTATTAATGGGCCTCTAAGTATTTGTATTCCAATTCCAAAATTAAAAATAATAGTGGTTAAAGAGTTTAAAAAATCGAAGGGATAATTAATAATAAAAAGCACTTGAGGGGATTGAGGGATCTATGAAGTCGCAAGTTCGAGACTCCCTGGATATAATATTTTTACTGATCAGTTTCCATGTCCCTTGGAGTGAAAGAGAAGTAATCGAATTATATATACGAATACTTTGTCTAGAAAAAAAGTGTAGCAATAAATATTTGTAGATCAAGCATTAAGGACTTTTCACTAATATTAGTATGTTTTTATCCGGTGCAATCTCTTTGCATCATTAGGTATTATATTAAATCTAATTAAAGAATATATTTCATTTTATTGATTATGTCACATTTTATAGATAATGTCACATTTGCACTTTTCTTTTGAAAAAAAAAAATATCACACTTTTCTAGAATATAAAAATAAAAATATTTAAATTATTTAATTTGTAATAAATTATTGAGTAAATTTACCTATATTACCATTATTTACAATAAAAGGAGATACTTTGAGAACCATGTTTGAAATTTTAAAAACAATAGAAAAGCCAAAATCTTTGAATATTATGCAGCATATGATGAAATAAAATTCAGGTCTTTTTAACTATTAAACATTAAACAACTATTTGCTCAACTAAAACAAATCACTCTGTAAGCCGGCTTTTCTTCCAAACGACAAGCAATTGTTTTCTGGCAGATAGACGACATAGGTTGTAAAGCTAAAATGACAAGTAATCTATGAAAGAACAAATTTATATATTAAATATATAATAAAAGATAATTAGAAGAATGTTCATCAATTTTATATTAAAAATCAAAGAGAGATAATGTCACTATCAAATAGAATTTGTGTGAGAAATTTTTAAATAAAGGATACAATATTTATTTTGTCAAGTTTAGAATTATATAAATATTTAGAATTACACAATGAATTAAAATATTCAGAATTATACAAATTATTTAAAGGACCCTCTCCCTTCCCCGTTTGACACTTTATTCTAACTTCAAAGTCTCATTTTTCAACTCAAGAATGAGACTAGTTACGAAATAAACAAATAGAAAATAAGGTAATTAACAGAAGAAATTGAAAATACAAAATAATTCCGATATATTATGATAAAGACATTAGATTTGCAAACCTTAAGAGTCAAGAAATCATGTCGTATGTTCTTGTCCATATTATCAATCATCTCCGTTTGGAAACAAGAAAATCATACAATTAGAAAGAAATACACAAAAGAAAAAGACGAGCTGCAGACTTAACCCATATAAAACAACCATCACCTTATTTTCATATTGACACTTCACAACGCAACCCGTACGATCATCAATTGTTATTGATAGAACAAAAACAGAAACATCAACTTGATGTCTTAAGACTTTTAGAATCATAATACAAATTGGATTACGTAAGAGCTGCATTCTTAAACCGTGTAGGCTTGGACGCGTAAACAATTGGAAGTTTCTGAATAAGTCTTGCGTTCTAACCTGAGGAGTCAAAGGTACTCTTCCTTTAAAATTCAGTGCATGCATCTGCATGAAAATGAGATTATATACGAGCTATCAACACTTTCTTGTTATGTTTCTCAGTAGGAGAACCCACCAACCCACTATATCTGACATTTTGAAGATTGAAGAAAAGAAATCTATGAAACACTGATATAGATATTAAAAAAAAAAAAAATACTGATATGATCTAGACGCCAACAAGGTTATTTTCGTAAAAATCTTTTAAGTTTTCATCTTCAATTTATATAATTCGTAAATTTTGGTAATCAAATGCTGCAATAAATTAAGAAAACTTCAAGTTTTTAAGCTGCAAATTATACACTTGCAATTGCTCCATCCAGTATTTCAAATTTATTAATTTAAATTAAAATTTTAATTAACAAAGTGTGAATATGAATATTCGTTCTCAAAAAAAAATTATATATTTAAAATCGTGGTTAAAAATATTCATTATTATTTACATATTATTGATTATTAAAATTTAAAATAGAAAATAGAAAAAAATATTGTCACATGAATAAGCAAAACATAATATTGTAATAAAAATTAAATTTTTTTAAAAAAAAAGATTCCATGAGAATATAATATACAGATTCTGAACCAGATTTATACAAATAGACACTATGGGCTTTGATGGAAAATCCTCTTTAAGCACAACAAGAAGTTCTGTCCGTTTATAATGCTTTGATTTTGGATTAATACAAATAGTTGGGCCATAACTACAAGGCCCATCGCCAAAATAAATTCTTCCTTTATTTAATTTTTTTTTCCAGAATACAAAATAAAGTATTATTATTATTATTATAGGTGAAAAAAAAAATTCAAATTTTGGTCACTTATGCATTAATGCTAAATTGAATAAATCCAGTACACTTCGGTTTTAATTTGGTTTTTAGGATTTTTAAAAAATCAAACTGAATTAGAAAAAAAATTTTAATTTGTTTTTTTTTTAAATTAAAATCGAATTAAATTGAATGAGAATTTATTTTGATTTAACGGAAAACTCTCAACCCCATAAATCAACTTATCAACGTTCTCATTATTTATAATGCTACTTTTATTTCTGAATATCTGTCTTTTTTTTTTTCTTAAGTCATTTTATCATTCCAACACAATATTTAATTTTTTTTCTTAATATTCCCTTATTTAAATATACTATCTACAATAATTATAACTCCACTCTAAATATTGTGTTATCTACAATAATTTTTTTTCTTAATTCGTTATTCTTAATTTGTATCAAGTGTTATGAAAATAAATTTGTGATTGGTGAGATCTGAAAGCTTATTTTTAAAATATGATAATTAGATTAAGAATTTCTTTAATATAAATTAGTTTAGCTGATATAAAAAAAATGTACATATTCTGAAAATATTATTAGAACTAAAAATTAAATTAAATTATTCGCTCAAAAAAGTTCACATTCATTAATCATAAAAATTTTTAAACAATTAAATAAATTTTACATTAATTTTCTAATAATATCTAAAATACTATTATTATTTTTAAAATGTGAATTTCAAACTGAATATATATAAATATGTATATATATTCCAAGTTCACCATTTCATGTAGGCGTTTTCCAAATGGTCTCAAAATTGGTAAATTGACTAATTGTATTAAAGTCACCTGACAAGGATAGGGCAGAAGGAACATGTGCATGACCTACAACAAAAGTTAGCTGAGCTCTGTACTCTGTTTCACATCAACTCTTTAAGTTTTGGTCTCATAATAATCAATGGCAATAGTAGCCCGATTAAATTTACCAACAAGTCCACGTGGATAATTAATAGGGCTAAACCTAGAAATTACAGATTACAACGAATATTAATTAATGGAGTCGAACAAAATTATATTGAACGAAAAGTGACTTTCTTTTATATATATATATATATATATTCTGAAAGCTTATTTTTAATATGAATAATTGTTAAGAATTTTCTTTTAATATTAAATTAGTTATGCTGATATAAAAAAATGTACATATTTCTGAATATTATTAAGAACTAAAATTAAATTAATTATTTCGCTCAAAAAGTTCACCATCATTAATCAATAAAATTTTTAAACAATTAAATAAATTTTACATTAATTTTCTAATAATATCTAAAATACTTTATTATTTAAAATGTGATTTCAAACTGTTAATATATAAAATATGTATATATATTCCAAGTTCCCATTTCATGTAGGCGTTTTCCAAATGGTCTCAAAAATTGGTAATTGACTAATTGATTAAAGTCCCTGACAAGGATATGGGCAGAAAGGAACATGTGCATACCTAACAACAAAAGTTAGCTGAGCTCTGTACTCTGTTTCACATCAACCTCTTTAAGTTTTGGTCCTCTAAATAATCAATGGCAATAGTAGCCCGATTAAATTTACCAACAAGTCCACGTGGATAATTAATAGGCTAAACCTAGAAATTACAGATTACAACGAATATTATTATGAGTCGACAAAATTATATTGAACGAAAGTGACTTTCTTTTATTATATATATATATATATATATAATTATAGTTATTTTATATATTTATTTAAACTTGAACTCGGTTTAAGTTTTAAAATTAATCTCGACCTCATATTTGACCTACTCGATATATAAATTCAGTTCCACATTCAGGCTTGAGCTCGGTCAAAGTAAGGATCAAAATCCACCACCAGCTAGATAATAATTAGTCGATTTTATTCTTTAGCCTGTCATTTTCAGGTACTTGGATGATAAAAATGTTTTCCAACTGTCAAAGCTCATGGAGAAGGCAGCTTCCTTTCTTCTCTGTTTGCACAGTGACAAGTAGTATTACAATGGTTTTCACAGTTCAAAAAATTAAAAATTTTAAAACATATTGACGAAGTAATTGATTGAGCATAAAATAACATCATATGATCACTCGAAATTAATTAAAATGAAAATAATAAGATGATTAATGTTGGACCACCATTGCACGAAAGATACTTCATTACGGTATGTACCTTAGCAATTGGACATCATTGTCACAAGACAATTCAAAACATTTATATATGTACTCGACATTTGATTAATTAAATCTCATCCTTATATTGTATATTTCAGAGCTATATATCCATGGATACAAAGTAATTACCTACATGCATGGTGATGGTGGTGACTTGTGATAGAGTAGTATCAAGTAACACGATATATTTTCTTCTACACATCAAAATCTTTTTTAAAAATGGATTACCATAGTTAAACAATAATTAAAATCTTAATATATTGATTTTTCTTTTTAGGGTTTAACAAAGAGGGAAATCGGAAATCTACAATAGATTTTCTGTTCTTTTCTGTTTTTAGCTAACAAGCCGAATAACGTTGTCACCATTCATCATACACATTAATGCAGTTTCAGACTGGAACAGAGAAAAGAAAATTAAAATTCGAAATGAGAGAAAAAGAAAAAAAATTAAGAACTCTAACACTTTAAGTTTATCATGTTCACATGTATCTATCATCATTTATGTGTCTGCAAGGAATCACTCTGGTCAAGATAACCTACAGATATATACAAAAGTCTCTCTCAAAAAAGAATTAATTTCTTTCATCAGAGAAGACTTTCAGTAATAGTCAATGGTAGAGAAGCTATAGAGAGTGGTTTGTTTGCTTTTTGGCAGAGTAGGTCAGCTCAAAAACCTCCACACCACCACCACCGGCGGCCACCTCTTAGTTTTTGCTTTCTTGAAATGCATATAGGCTTCCAAGAAATAAATTAAAGGCTAATAAATTTTGGGTTTTCTCTCTTTTTCTTTTGGGGTGGTTTCTTTTGTTGTGCATACCCACATAACATTGAATGCCCCGCGATTTTGTGAGGCAGAAGGAGTATTGGTACAGCTGACTTTGGCTTGCCCTCTGAGTAAATGCATTTGCTGTCCTCTTTTGACTCTTTTTTTTGGGTACCCTTTTATTGCTTTCCTTTAATTACACAGCTCCTTCTCTCTCACTAGCTTCTTTTTTCTATATATGCAGACCAAGGCAGCAACCTTGGCCTCGTATGATTGCCTATTCTTTCAAAAAAGATAAACCCCTTTTTAAAGAGAAGAAAGACTTAAATTTCAAAGCCTTTGAAAGAAAAGAAAAGGCAAAGAGTGAGAATATATTATGGGTAGACCTCCTTGCTGTGATAAGAGTGGAGTCAAGAAAGGTCCATGGACTCCTGAAGAAGATATCATGTTAGTTTCTTATATTCAAGAACATGGTCCTGGCAATTGGAGAGCTGTGCCCGCTAATACAGGTTTAATTATTATTAATTAGTAATATCTCTTCTTAATATCTATATCAGTTACTAATTTTGTTTTTTAAATTTTGATGCTACATATCTATCTATTTTGATAATCTTGTTAGTTATGTTAGTTTCTTTTGTTTCTTTCGTTTTTCAGGGTTGCCTAGATGCAGCAAGAGTTGCAGGCTTAGATGGACTAATTATCTCAGGCCAGGAATCAAAAGAGGTAATTTTACAGATCAAGAAGAGAAAATGATAATCCACCTACAAGCCCTTTTCGGCAACAGGTAATTATTAATTAATAACATCAAAGTATAACTTTTAGTTAATTAATTTTATTTTGTTTTTACTTGCTAATTTGCTATTTTAGTGATCTTGAAATGGCTTAAGGAATTTTAAAAGGATTATCTATTCTGAAAAGTATAATATATAATTTATTATTAATTATTCTGCAGATGGGCAGCCATTGCTTCCTATCTTCCACAAAGAACAGATAATGACATAAAAAATTATTGGAATACCCATTTGAAGAAAAAGCTAAAAAAGCTGCACACAGCCCGTGATCAAGAAGCTAATAATCACTTCAAAGGAGATGGGTTATCACCATCATCAAGATCGTCATCATCAACAACAACATCAATAATTTCACAGCAGCCAATTTCTAGAGGTCAATGGGAAAGAAGGCTTCAAACTGATATTAACACAGCTAGAAAAGCTTTATATGAAGCATTATCACCAGAAAAACTAACTGATAACAACAATAATCAGTTAAAATCCACTTGTGCAAAATCAGCGTCAGCAACTTCTACGACTACTTATGCTTCCAGCACTGAAAATATTGCCAAGTTACTTGAAGGCTGGATGAGAGATGGGCCTAAAATAAATTCTTCATCAGCAACTACTCAGAATTCAAAGTGTAACTTTGAAGAAAGGGAAAAAGAGGGAAAAAATAATAATGATGGGATTGAATTAGAAGAGACATTTGAATCACTATTGAGTGGTTTTGAATCTTTTGATCGTTCTTCTTCCAATTCTGATTTTGAGTCGCCCAATGAGGCTGCTAGTATTTTCCATGAAGAACAAAAGTCAAATTCTTATGCACAAATGCCACCATTTTCTCTTCTTGAGAAATGGCTTTTTGATGATTGAGTTAATACTACAACCCAAGGAAAGGATTATCTTAGTGAAGTTAAATTAGAATTAGATGAAAATAATCTTTTTTAGAGGGATTAACTTTTTATTAATATGTTTAATTGTTGGGGGTTTTTTTTTTTTTTCGGGGAATTTGATCTAGATTAATATGCCGCTAATTATTTTTCTTGCTGAAGGGGAAAATTTTTTTTTTATTATTGGGTTATTTTGGAGACCTTTAGCTAGTAATCTATATATCGGTGCTTTAGGTCTTTAGCTATAAAACGTTCTCAATCCCCTTGAGTGCTGAATACAGAAAGTGTAGATTTTAATTTATTATCATGTGATATGATTTCTTTTCATGGGAATAAATTTCTAGCGATTCATTTTTTTTTATTTTGAGTGATGATTTTTTTAGCCTCGTTATATATTTAGCATAAATACCTAACAATTCGTATGAATTAATGTAATGTTTTGTGAAAATTGGAAAATAAATAATTTTGTAACTTGCTTTAGATTTTTTTTTTTTTTTTTTGAAAGAGTTTATAGAGAAACAACCAATTAATACTAGTAACAATAATAGGGGGACGAGCTTTTATTTATTGAATGCGATGAAGAATTAAAGTATGAAGTGCTTTCTTGTGAACTTGTGCTTACAACTTGATAAGAGAAGGGAAAGAGTCAACTACCAAAAAACCTTGATTAATTGCAAGCTAATCCAAGTAGTGCTGCTGCAATTATTAGGTTTTAAAGCCTCTTCAATTTGAAATTAATGAGATATAAATACCCAACTAAACCAAAAATTTTTAAATTATTTTATATAATTAAAAAACAAAACTTATAAAGAGTGATTCAAATAGCAATGCACACTCGAATTTAATAAATATATCAACAATAGGAAAATTTTGCTCGAAAAAACAACCGTGAATCATGAAAAGTATAAATTAACATGCTTGAAATTTCTTAAGTATTTGAAAAAGAATGAAGAGATCATTTCTTTTGCCTTTTCTATGATATTTTTTTGATTATTAATTATGTTTTCACATTAATTTTCAATTTGGTATTATGAGAAAAGTGAAAGAAAGGGTTATAAGAACCTTTTTTTTTTCAGATGTGATAAAAGTTAGAAAGAAAAATAACTGTTTATATGGGTGGAAAATGTTGCTCGAAGTTCGGAGCTCAAGTTCGAGATTTTAAAGGTACAATTTTTTATAAAAATTATAAATTGTAAATGAACAAAACTGGAATTTAATTTTTAAAGCTTGAGTATACTTTTAAAGTGAGGATATTTATAATCATTCATTACGAAAAAAAATAAAATTATATAAAAATTTTTATTTTCATTATTTTGGTTTATGAACTCATCGTCCACAAACCTGATATAAACAAGTCTAATTCATAATTGAGATACGAATAATTAGAATAATCTAATTGAAAAAAAAAAATTCCGAAGACTGTAATATATTTTTAATCAATTATCTTTCTTTTACGGGGTAAGTTATTACTTGTTTTGAATGTATACAGGGTTGCTTGTGAAGTTGTGGTATTATTTTCTTTAAGTAATTTGCAAAATCTACAATTATTTGATTTTGTGGACAATTCACGTATTCTATTTGAAAAAATAATTGAAACTCAACTTATTATATTTTCAAACACATAAAAATTAAATTAGATTGGATCAGATTATATATATTCAGAATGAATCGGATAGTAATAAATTATGTAAACGATAAATATATATTGTACAGAATTTTTATAAAAGTGGATGATTTTCGAATATAATAAAAACATTAGCTGTCTACATAACACAACAGATATTTACATTCAGCCCCACACTTTTGTGAACATCAAGTCCCTTCTTTCCTGCCATATGTTTTTTCCTTTCTAAACCAAAGAATTTCATTATATGGCCATAAAAATTTTGCAGACTGACTACAATTTAATGCACATGTGAAAGGATTTGCTTTAATACCTTTTTTTTTTTTTTTTTATTTTTCCTTTTTTTTTTTTTTTTTACAATTGTATATGCATAAAGACCATGCAATATATATGCAAATAATAATAATAATAATAATAATCCAAGAGAGTTTGATTTATAGTTCCATACTGTAAAGGCATGGCGAGAAGCATAAGCCCCTCATAAATACCATTATCAAATGACAACAGAAGAAAGGAAAAAAAAAAGCTTCCCTTTCTGTCTCTCCTACTTAAAATATATTATATCCAGCAGGTGATGGCTTGGAGGATTTTGATCCAAGCAAAATGGCAGACTAATAGAGAGAGAGAGAGGTTTAAGATACGCATGTTTGAATTGAAAAAACCAAAAGAAAATAGAAAAAGCTGACTTTATTTATGTATTATAATTAATGGTTTCTTTCGAGCTGGCTTTTTGAATATTGCATATGTTCAAAGACAGCATCATGCATTGCATTTTTATTTTTCATACCAGGATGGGTAGGAGAATTGAATATCAGACTTTTAGATATTTATTAATTTTGCATTTTGTTCTTATTTAATTTAGAATATTTGTCCTATATGTATCTATATATACGTATAAGTTAAACTCTTTAACAACTTTCAAATGAGTAAATTTTAAATTCACTTTTAAAGAGTAAATAAGATTAATATATATTTTTTGTCATTTATAAAAAACCCGTCTACTTTTATATAGTATAATATGTTTTTATATAGTACAATTTATTTTTATTTATTAACTAAAATGTTTGCATATTGATCAAGGAAATAATTTAATCACTTAAATTATAAAAAAAATTACTCCTTAATTTGACTAAATTATTTATTATATCACATAATTACTATAATAAGGGTAAAATCATATATAATAATTATTATTATATTAAGTAGAAATAAACCTAAAATTAAAAAAAAAGTATTTCTTTTTTTTAAAGGCAAAAAAAAAAGTACTTCTTGATATTTTTAAAACCATAAATAAAATAACCTTTAACAAACAACAAAAAGTAGTAAGAGTATTATTTATTCTTAATAACAGTAAGTAATGACTTAATGATGGGATATTTATTTTATTTTAAGGTAACGCTTATATGTCTAATCTCTCTTTTTATAAAAGAATATAAAAAATAGAGAAAAAAAAACAAAAATCTTCCTTCCAAAAATTTATTTACTTAATTTTGTAGTTGAATAAAGAAAAAAAAAAAAAAAAGGTTTTTTTAAAAAAAAAAAAAAGAGAAGAGTTTTTTTTTTAGAAAAATCAAATTAGAAATTTTATTAATTGGAAACTATACATAGATATGTGATACAAATTAATATGTTTCTATATTTTTGCATACGAAGTCTAACAATAAACCACTTATATAAAGAATAAAAAATTATAATTTTGATTTGAAATATCTAATCGATTTGACAGAGTATAATATTTATGCTGTAGGGGATTGCTTGCTCCACTTAGTAGCTATTCATAGTTATTATTCGACTATATGAATTTTCTACAAATCCGATCTGATTATTTTCAAATTTCTTCTTTTTAATGAAAAAGAGATTTATATTTATTTATACATAGTTTTTTAAATAGTAAAAAATCTAGAAAAAATCACTAAAAAAAGGATAATAACAAGCAAAAGGTAATAAAAAGCGATAAGAGTGTTTTGAATAAACATGTTGATGTAAAGTTCAAAGTAGAATCAATTAGTAAGAAAGAGAAATTACTTTAAAATTAGAATATCGTGTCATAAGGCAATTGGCTAATCCAATAAGATTGAGCTGTATATAAATAATTAATTAATGGTTGATGACATAATTTGGACCCCAAGGCCAAGTATGGATTTTTTAGCCAACCACAACAAGGAAGACAAAGTCATGTGCCACCTCATGTCCAATCCTGTAAGCCCACTAAGCCACTTCATGTTGCATTTAAGACTAGCATGTGGGTTTCGATGCCTTTCGCTACTTTCTCCTTTCTCCTTTCTCTTCTTCAATTAATCATTTTTTAAAAATATTTAATGGTATTAAATCCATCATTCTTTTTTTAATTAATCAATATCCATCATGATGGAGTGCTTCTTCCTTAATTAAACGTCATGTTAAAAGAGTCATTATATATGTTCTCAATATTCGAGCCAGATATAGTTAATATTCAATGAGCTTTTAGATATTAACGGTTATAGAATAGAAAAAAAAATGCATCGATAAGTGTTGATGCAAATATATGTGATAATTTTCAATTTAATGATAAAGTAAAATATACTGATTAAAATATGATTATTTAATTTATTTTTTTCAAATCAAAAACTACAATTACTAAATAAGAAATGGTAAGAATAAAGATTTTGTAATACGCATAATCTAATATTTATACAAATTTATAATTAACCAAGCAATAATAAATAAAACTTATAGCAGCCAGCTAAAGACATTTTGGCAGTGATGGATCCAATATACATATATATAAATCCATATAATTTAATTTATTTATATTTTTTATCCCTTTTTTTTAATCATATATTAACTCCAGAAAAAGAAATAATTCTAGGTTTAAGTGATACCAATAGCTTTATATTTCCATAATTTTTTTTAATGACATATATAATCTTTGAAAAGGTCCACTCGTTCCGTTATCTTATCCATTTTGAACAAAACATAATGATTATGTTATGCCTTTTGAATTAATATTAATAATTAATTAACCATGTAAAATTTACATGCTTCGACGAGAAATGTGAGGCAAATGTGAATTTCCCAAATTAAATTTTTTGATACATGAATTGTTTAATTATATATGTACTAGAAATTTCCTTTTGAAGTAAATCTAGAACCAACATATCACATGTTGGGTTTTATATATTCAAGAATTACCTTTTAAATGTTAATCAAACCCTAATTAGTAAGACCAAAAGTAAATGTTTACGTACCAATCAAATTTACCTATATTTGAGTTTATTGTTATAGTTTGGATTAGCACAAAAAATTGTTCAATCATTTTGGTCTGGACTGAGAGATTTGTGTATGTATTTCATTGATTTGATCTTCACTTTGTATGTTCGTAAATTTGGTGAATATATCTCATCGAAAATAATAAAAATTTCACAAAATAATTTAGCTTTTCGTTACCAAAAGCGATGGACTTTAACTATTTTGAATTATATATAGAGAGAGAAACACAGCAGCAAAGGCATAATTTTGTAAGTGGGTGTCAATTCAAAATTCTAACTAATAAATTTGAATATATAACTACTTATAAATGATAATACATATTTAATTAAATAATTATTCATAAATTAAACAATTGTGAATAAAATAATAATTGATGTCAAATTACGTTATCAAATAATAAAAAAATTGTAATTACAAAAATATATATACATTTGGTTTTATTTATTTATTTATTTTTTTTACCTTCCATCTATCCATTTATTATTTTTTCGATGAGTTATGTTATGTATAAGGATATATATTTGATAAATTCTAATTAATTATTGATAAATACTTATAACTAAAAGTTAAAAATCTTGTTTAAAAGCCAAAAATTCAGTTGAACCGAGTCGATTCGGTCCAACGACGGCCTAGTAAAAACGTGGATTCGATATCCAATCCGGTTTTAAAAACATTGCTAATTACATATATACTCATCGAAGAAGAGAGAAAGCAAAGAATAGTGAAATGGGTAAAGAAAATATGTACATTTATATTCTGTGGTCCAAAACTCAGAAAGACATAAATTGAAGCAGAAGGTTTGTTTGCATAGGAAGTCGACATGTCCTTACACGCGGTTGTTTACAATTAATATGAAGATTCTAATTTGTGGATGATAATTAAGTGTCCTTTGTTTTAAAAATAAAATAAAATAAAATAAAAATGAATTGTCATGTTTGGATAAACTTTCCTTATATGAATTAGCATATCTATATAATCTGAATCATAGTGCATCTTGATTAGTGACTTATTTTGGTGATATTTTTCTGAAAAATGTTAATTAATTAAACCAAAATTCTGAAAAAAGAAAATAAATGTGTGATGCTCAAGTCTAAGATGCTTTATCCAATGACCCAAAAGCTGAGATGCATAGTAAATTTGTGTGGACATCACTAAATGGGTTGGGTTGGTGAGTAGCAAAAGGCCTCATCATTCACTATCTTCTCAAAAACACAATCATACTTTGAGTCCCTATCAACCCCACAAATCCATCCTTACTAACTGTCTTTCTTTCTATTTTTTTAAGAATCTCTTTTTCACTCTTTCACACATATTCATATCTCTTATTTATAGTTCCATCTAATACCTCTAAATTATAATTATATTGTTTAATTAGCATCATCAAAAAAAAAAAAAAAAAGTTCAAAATGTACCTCTAATTATAATTATATATTGTTAATTAGCACTTCATCAAAAAAAAAAAAAAAAAATAGTTTCAAAATGTTACTGTGATTACAAATATTATCATTAATTAAAAAAAAAAAAAAAAATAGTTCAAAATGTTACATGTGATTACAAATATTATCATTAATATAGAAAAATATATAACTCTGACCTATATGTAAACCCTATCGAGTTAAGAAATTCTAATAATATTTATGCATAGAAAAGATAATACTTCACTATTGAGTTATTAGTTTTTTTTCTCTTTCTTTCATTATAATAGCGAGTACAGCGTAATTGAGAATATCATTATTTAAAATCTGAAATGATAATATATTTGACGTTGTAAACATGATTTTGACAATGCAAGAAGAAATATATATGATGTGCACAAAATGAAAAGCTTTATATAAGTGGGTTGATGTGCTAATTAAATCAAGTTTATACACCAATTAGTTCAATACCCATTACTACCAAAGAGGAGTATGCCCAATAGAACTCCTTAGAATTATGAATTTCTTTTTTTCTTAAAATTTACCTTTGTTTTTAAAAAAATAAAAAAAAATTTTTGGCTTTGCTTTAGCCACTAATTGCCAAAAAGTTCAATTATTTAAAAACCTTGGGCACTCTTAGGCTGTTATATTAAGCAATATGTAAAAAAATGGATGACCAAAAATGGAAAAAAGATTGACCCACATAACCATTTTAGTAACCCATCAATATCACCTACCAACATTACCTAATCAAATGTCTGTAAGGTATGAAATATCAGAGGCATCTTGGAATTGGATTTATAGGTATTTTTATGGCATCCATCAAAAGCATCTTCTGGCCTTACAAGGGCAAAGCAATTGAAGAATTGCATTTTGCTGGGACTAAGTATGTTGTTGGGTACAATGACCAAAATGAAATAATATAATCCAAATATATATATAAAGAAAAGGAAATATAGGGATTTAGATGTATTTATCATAATTCATATAATGATTCATTGAGTTCATTAATATTCTACATTGCTTATAAAATTAAAAATCTTAATGAAGATTTTATTGACCTAATTACTTAGTTTATCTAAAAAAAATAAATTTAATATTTATAAATGTGCAAACATATATATGTTAAAATTAAAAAATTTATAATATCTCCTATTATGGTGAATTTTTAAGAAATTTCTAAAGCTTGAGGAGGTTGGAGCTGATCTCCTCAATCTTCCTCCCAGTGCTTCTACTAGGAATTGTCTTTTTACCTTGTGAGCGTCACCGCGAAACATATATATGCTCGGACTATCAATAAAATTAACATTTTAACCTCTATACAGTAAAAGTAAAAAAGGGAAAAAAAAGGGAAAAAAAAAAAAAAAAGAGACAGAGAGATTTGGTTGGGGAGAAATTACTTTAGGATTCAGCAATTTCATGATTAATGTACCAAATGTCTAAAAAAAAGGACGACTTGGAGTAACAAGATGCCAAATAAGTAAAGGTGTACCTTTAAAATGCTGATAGTATGCACTAATTAAAACTCTAATTACATGATTAATTTAAATTTCCTTCTAAATCTGAAATATGATCGCTTGATTGTCTAAATAGTATGCAAAAAGCCCTTTTGAATTGTAAGATTCGACAGCAAAGTTTGGTGAAGAGTAATTTAAAGCACACATGAATGAACATTTGCTGATTGATTGTAAACTTATAACAGACAACATTTGACAGCAACATCCTTAAAATTCACAAAATCTTATATATGCCTTTCAATAAGAACTACCTCAATCAATTTCATCCCATGATTTTTCTGTCAAATCAAATTGAAGCCCATATTTTGTACGTACAAGGGCTTTCCACATGAACTTATAGCATATGACTGTAGGAATCCATTACTTGCACAAAATCAACAGGTTTATTCTAAATCCATTGTTCAATTCATTATAAGTCCTTTTGTTATTTATTATTATTTAACGTGGGATTCCTAATAAAATTATATTTACCCATGAAAAATATTTGCTCATATTGCATATATCCATTCTTTATATACTCAACCATTATTTTTTTTTAATATAATCAAAATGTATAATTTCCATTGAAACCGAAGAACGTAAAAATTTTTCGCTCTCCTAGTATAATATAAAACTGTAACTTTGTATTACTATTATATATATCTCTTTCTTTTAGGTGAAAAAAACACTTACATGTATATATTCATGTAAAAATGTTTATATATACTATATAATTAAGGAATTAATCAACAATAAATAAAATCAAGAATCTCTTTTTACTTTTGGAATTTTCTATCAACCATATATGGCCATGGTTAACTTCTTTTTGTTTGATACATCAAAGTTCTTAAATTCGTAAAAATTTGAATATCTAACCTTCTGCATCTTGAGAAAGACGATTATTGACCTAATCGCATCATTAAATTTGACTTTAAACCCAAATGTCCAATCAAATTGCATAATTAAGAGTACAATTAATCAACGTTCACTAACAAGCAATATAAATAAATGAATATACAAATAGAGAGGTTGTTAGACTGTCAAAAACTATTTTACCAAACAAAAGAATCACCAAACACAAATGCAATGGTAAGTAACAGAGAAGAGGTGCGTAACTGTAAATAACCGTACAGGTTTGGCAATCTGATAGAAACCAAGTCATGTAATTAGGTCAAGCAATAGACAACAAATGTTGTTGGCATCGTATCAATGCACCCCACAATCTGCCTTTTAGCATCAGCACTATTTTTTAAAATTAGGTCTAAAAGAAAACTAAACTGTGCTAATTATTTTTTTAAAGCAATCTCTGTTACTGTATGTTTTATTTAGTAAAAAGTATTTTGTAATTAATGAATAAATCTAGCTGGGTTTAAAAAAAAAAGCTTAGCTGGTTATTCTATTTTAAACCAATCACACTTTCAGTTGAAAGGTAAAGCTTTCTCATCATTTTTGGTTTCACTCTTATTAGTTTTGTAAAAGAATCCTTTCTTTATATATTAATAGGTTAAATATTCAGGCTTAATAAGGCAGTTGGTTGATCACTTCATAATTTCTATTCTAGGGTTTACTATCTGGCAGAAAAGAATAATTATTTAACTGAGAAATAAAAATGTAACAGTAAGCTACGGTTTTACTGTTAACACAGTAACTATGACTAATAAGTCCATGGCAGATGCTATAAGTACACCCTCTAGGGTTAGGGCTTGCATAAAGAAACCTAAAAGCAAACCTCTCTCCCTCTTCTCTTATTTTCTTTTTCTTTCCTTTTTTTGCAGGATTTTGTTGTGATTAGGTCGAAGAAGAAGTAAATTTGTGAATCATATATATTAGGTTCCTCGTCTTTCAAGAATTAATATATTTCAAAGAAAGAAGAAAGGGGTATAATCAAGAATAGGGATTTACAAAATGAGGAAGAGGCAAGTAGTAGTTAGAAGAACAGAAGAACCATCAAGAAGCTCTTCTACTTCGTCTTTCACTATTAGAAGTGTAAAGTATGGAGAGTGCCAAAAAAATCATGCGGCGAACGTTGGCGGTTATGCCGTCGATGGGTGCAGAGAATTCATGGCTAGTGGTGAAGAAGGCACATCTCTTGCACTCACTTGTGCTGCTTGTGGTTGCCACAGGAATTTCCACAGAAGGGAAGTAGAGACCGAGCTAGTATGCGATTGTTCTTCGCCTACTTCCAATGGAAATGGGACTTAAATGTTTTCTTATCTCTTCTTCTATGTAGCTAAGTATCCAACTTCTTGTCTTAGTGTTTTTGACTTCTGATTTTCTTGTTTGGGTCTGAAATTCTTCTTCTTGTTGCTGTGATTTTCGCCCTAGTTTCTAAGGTTGATCAACATCAATAAACCTCGGATTGAAGTCCCAGGAAGAAAGTGGAAATTGGAAATTGTATGGGTGTTTGGTGTGTTATTTATGAATCAAGAGCACCACAAAATGTAAATTGGTGGTATTATGAAGATGAATTAAATAGGAGTGAATAATTAAGCTTTGTAATCCAGTATTTATATTATTGTTTTCGGATTTCTGAGTAGCTTAGAAATGTTTTTCTTGATGAGAGGTGGGAATTTAATGGAGAAAAAAAAAAGATAATGGTTCTTTATGTGTGATTTTTATGAAATTAGTGTGAGATTTGAGACAATTAATTCTCTTATATATGTTATTTTTATTATAATTTTTTTTTTTTTTTTGGTTCTGTCTACATATGCTTATAAGATGAGAAAATTTATGAAGACTTAAAAGTTAGAATAACATCATTTTAAGTTTTGATTTACCATAGCCAATTGCATTTCTCTGATTCTAGTTTTAATTTAACTCTAATTAATTATATGAATAATTAGAAGCATAAAAAATTAATAACATTAAGCATACTTAGTTGAAGGTAATTATCAATAATTTGCGATTAACAGAAGCCACAAATTGTTGATTCGTGATGCAAGTTGATACACAATTTAGCAAAATTATCTTTTGAAGCTCGGAAAAAAAAATCTATGGAATATTATCCTAATGTGGTAGTCATATCTGTATGGTAAGATCACTTTGTATTTAAGGTTAAAGGCCCACATATCTAATCATGTTGGTTGTTATGATGGAAATTTTACTTACCAATGTACTTAAAAGGCAATTAATAAAGCTAATTACAAAAAACCGATATTAATATCTTTTGGTACATTTATAAAATGTATTTCATTAGCTGAAAAATCCAAAAAGGAACAAAGAAATTGAAAGGAAATTGCCAACCTTTACAACGTTATTAATTATTCTTAATCACCTAAATATCATTACCAAAAACACCAATCTTGCCTGAAAATATCATGCACATAACATGTCTAAATATCTTCTTGCAATTTGAATGCAATTCTTGTTTTAAATGCTTGAAATTTTGAGAAAAAATAAAAAGAAATTAGATATTCTCCATATGAGATGTGTAAGCAAAAGTGTTGAAGTTAGGTAAAAGAGAGTATGGAGGGAACAAACATTTTGGTATACGTTGTATTTAAATTGGGTAGATGTCAATTTTCAGAATATCATAAGTTTTCAGATTAGAAGTTATTAATAGAGAGGCAGTGGTGAGAGTATCACAAGGCAATTTTGGTTTGGTCAGTCCTCTAATTGGTTATATTACAATTGGATAAGGACATATAGTAATGAGTCATTGGATTTGGAGTTTCTTTCAAAATATGTATTCTTTGCTTTTGTTGGTGTTTCTTGACAAGCTCTTGCAGATACTTTTGTTTCCTATTTATATATTTTCATAATCATTAATATTTTTCTGGTTATATCGTGGACATTTCAGTATAAACCAATATATATATATATATATACATATAAAAAACGTGTTTATATATTTGCATTTCAAAAACAAAATATCTTATCATATCACATGTGTATTTATTTTTAAGTTGCTTTCAAGTAAGATTTACTGTAATTATTATTACTATTATTATTAATGTTAGTAGTAGCCAATCATTATGGGATATATAATACCTATAGAACTGTTTTTTTTTTTTTTTTATTACCATGACTATGTATACCTTTGAATATGAGATTATTTTAGTTTTGAAGTTTATTCTAGTTTTGGAATTTGTGACTTCCCCTCCCCGTAATTTTTTTTTTTTTTTTTTAGTTTTTGGAATTTCGTGAAACTTCCCCTCCCCGTAATTTTTTTTTTTTTTCTTAATTTTTTTTTTTTTTTTTTGCTATAATTAAGACTCAATTTGTTTTCAAAGAGTAAATTATCTTTGAAAAATATTTTTCAAATAACTTATTGTCGTTTGGTTACAATACTGAAAATTAATTAAAAAATATTAAACCTTTTGACTTATGAGACCGTAAAAATATTTATATTTATAATTATAGATATTTCATGTTTTAAAAATTTGTTATTAAATATGAGAAAAATATATAAAAGTGATATTATTATGATAATTGCCAGTGACTGGTGTTGTTGATTAATGATAATGACTTGTTATCGGTGATGGTGGCTACTGATTAACAAATTAAACATGTTTATTTCTAAAATTATAATAAATTTATTAATATTAGAAAAATATGTTCCATTGACTGATTTTCATAAGCACTCAATTATGAAAAAATCAGAAATAAACGAAGGGAGCCTAGAATTTTTCTCTAGTAAACGAAGGGAAATAATTATCATATCCTAATATCTTGTGTGAGATAGCAAGGGGTAAATTTTCCCTTTTTTATATGACATCTTGGGCCTGGAAATATAATAGTAGGGTACAGGGTCTTGGGCTGGAAGGCATAAGCCTTATAACTAAGGGGCTACAGTGTTGTTTTAGTTGTAGTAAACCCATTTGGGATTGGGTTTGGCAAGCCCATCACTCCCTTGGGCCTTGGTCAGTCTAATGTCAAGAGGAGACATTCAAAATTAATAACCTAATAATTTGTTAGTATCACAACGAGCTCTGTTGCACACTATAATTAATTAATTAAATGTAAATTTTTTTAACTCCATGATATTTTGAGGGATTTCTAATATATGAGATTTTGAGTTGTAGCCAATTGATCATTATAAAAAAAAGAATAAATTATATTTATACTTACTTTTATTGTCATTTTGTTATTTTGTAATTTTTAAATTTAATTTTTTATTTCAATGGAAGAAAGTTTATAAGAATTTTGTTACTAACAATATTAGTATGGCACTAAAATATTTCATTAAAAAATCATATATATACTAGTAAATTAATATGGCACCTACTTACTATTCAAGATAATAAATTGTTCCCACTTAAAGAATATAACTTAAATTGTTCCCACTTAAAGAATATAACTTTTTTTTTTTAAAGAAGAGTAAAAGAAAAAGGTAAAAAGAATACCGAAAAAATAATAAAATTTTCTATATTGTGACTATGAGATTTTATTTTATTGAGAAAAAAAAAAAGAAATCAAATTTATGAAGCAACTCAGTTTATAAAAGAGAGAACTATGTTAAAATAATTTAAAAAATGGAATCAAACTTGCATCTTAGCTAGAATTTGGTTGATCCCCTTTTCAAAAAAGAAGTTACTTTTGGAAGCATAAAAATATACTGTGGATCAAGAATACAAGTGACAGCTCTTGGGGTTGGACACAACTTTTGAAGCTCATCAGATAAATGACCAATCTTCCATTAATTGGCATCTGCTTAATTCAGTCAAATTGCACAAGAATAAAATTTTTGATTCTTTCAATCCCCATCAAATGCTTAAAAGAAGGATGATTAATTGAACTAAATTAAAAATTAAAAAAAAAAAAAAAAAAAAAAAAAAAAAAAAAAAAAAAGGGAAAAAAAAACTGAAGAAGAAGTGAAATTAGAGAAAAAAGAAAACAACTTACTAGCTGCTTACTTGATCTCTCTCTATCTAGCTAAGATTTATTATAACCTCCTCCATCATCAAAAAGATAAACCATTAATCAAGAAAATCAAAGAAGATGAAGAAGACCCATTGTACCAACATGAGCAACATTATCATTTCCAAAGTGTTGTTCTTGTTGTTGTTGTTGATTGATGATTTCAAAGTTCTCACTGCGTGTTTTGTTTGCTGCTTGTTATTTTCCAAGTTATTGCTTGTACATTCCATTTCCATTTCCCATTAGCGTCTCTCTTGCCGAAATGTGTTGGTGTTCTTGTTATTATGCATCCACACTTTCAACACTCCTTTATCAACCCCAACTTCATTGCAAAATTCTTGAATCAATTCTTCATCTCTTTTTTGCATCTTCCATCCAACTCTCTCCGCAAACTGATACATTATCTCTTTCTGGTCCTGGCTAAATTTTGTCCTGAAACGTTTTCTTGCCGAAACGCCACCCGAAACGTTTATATTCGAATTTTCGTTTAACCCAGCAGCTACGCCACCTGAGAGAGCTAACAGCATGTGTGGCGCAGATGGGTAGGAAGAAGAGATCGGCGGCGGAAAATAGGAAGCTGAATAACACTTATCGTTACATGGCCGGCGAAGGATTTTGTGGGCGGCGCAAGATCCGAGGAAAGCCGCAGATGGAAGGCAGGAACGGCTGGAAGAAGTTTGGGAAAGCTGTAAGGAAAGACTTTGATGATGAGAAGTTTGATGATGAGAAGACAGAAAAGGAGAATTTACACTTGGATCAGAAGATGATGAAGAATATGAATCAAAAGATAGCGACGGAGAAGAGGACGATGATTGTCTTGGTGATTGGGAATCGGAAAATGTAGAGGGAAATACGAATGGGTTTTTCGCCATCTGAAAGCGATCGAGATAGAACAGGAAATGGGTCAACACTTGGTATGTATACGAGTACTTTTTTCCAATTTTTGATTGCTATGGGATATCACATTTCAGAGAATTCAAAAATAAGGGAAAGTGCGGCAGCGCCTCTTCCATGTCCCTTCCATTTTGACTAACTCCTCTTCCTTTAAGCAGTGTTATTTTTCTTTTATTTTCCATTCAGCTAAGTTGGAGACTAATACATGATCAAACTAATATTAACACATTTCAATAAAATTTATAAAATAAAATTTAGTATGGTAACCAAAAAAAAAAAAAAAAACTCTGATGTACCAAAAAACTCTGAAAAAAAAAAAAAAAAAACTCTGATGTACCAATTTGTTCTTAATAATGAATAATGAAAGAGGGAGAAAAGGAACAAAGAGGATGGAATTCCATACGTAAAATAGTTACTAGCAAAACCCACTTTATTGCCTTACATCAACCATAGTAGGGTACAGGGTCTTGGGCTGGAAGGCATAAGCCTTATAACTAAGGGGCTACAGTGTTGTTTTAGTTGTAGTAAACCCATTTGGGATTGGGTTTGGCAAGCCCATCACTCCCCTGGGCCTTGGTAAGTCTAATGTCAAGAGGAGACGTTCAAAATTAATGACCTAATAATTTGTTAGTATCACAACGAGCTCTATTGCACTCTATAATTAATTAATTAATCATCATTTCAAACTAATTAAATGTAAATTTTTAAACTCCATGATATTTTGAGTGATTTCTAATTTATGAGATTGTGAGCTGTAGCCAATTGATCATTATAAAAAAAGAATAAATTATATTTATACTTAATTTTATTTTCATTTTGTTATTTTGTAATTTTTAAATTTAATTTTTTATTTCAATGGAAGATAGTTTATAAGAATTTTGTTACTAATAATATTAGTATGGCACTAAAATATTTCATTAAAAAATCATATATATACTTGTAAATTAATTTGGCACCTACTTACTATTCGAGGTCGTAAATTGTTCCCACTTAAAGAATATAACTTCTTTTTTTAAAGAAGAGTAAAAGAAAAAGGTAAAAAGAATACCGAAAAAATAATAAAATTTTCTATATTGTGACTATTTTTTTAAAGAAGAGTAAAAGAAAAAGGTAAAAAGAATACCGAAAAAATAATAAAATTTTCTATATTGTGACTATGAGATTTTATTTTATTGAGAAAAAAAAAAAAAAAAAGAAAGCAAATTTATGAAGCAACTCAGTTTATAAAAGATAGAACTATGTTAAAATAATTTAAAAAATGGAATCAAACTTGCATCTTAGCTAGAATTTGGTTGATCCCCTTTTCAAAAAAGAAGTTACTTTTGGAAGCATAAAAATATACTGTGGATCAAGAATACAAGTGACAGCTCTTGGGGTTGGACACAGCTTTTGAAGCTCATCAGATAAAAGTTACACTCAATGACCAATCTTCCATTAATTGGCATCTGCTTAATTCAGTCAAATTGCACAAGAATAAAATTTTTGATTCTTTCAATCCCCATCAAATGCTTATATGAACATCTTCTACTTTGATACAAAGTGCAATTTGTAAGGTTAGTTGGTAGAAGATCATTTATCTTCAACTGATTTTCAAGGTTTCAACCCTGAGATACATTGCTTCACACCATCCACCTTTCATCCTTCTGCCTAAACACAATCAAACTCAAAGCTTTACTTAAGCATATTCTCAAACAACATATGTGCATAAACAAAGTGATTTGAAGGTGAATTAATTGGTTAGTATAAAAAGTGAATGTTAGGCTGTAAGAAGGAATTGAAAGACAAGCTTTTTTATGCTGAAACAATTAGAATTTAACCCATCCAAGAAGCGGTTGGATTTGTTAGATCATGTTGCAAGTTTATTGAAGTTCATGTGTCAATTGTACAGTTCCAAAGTCTCAATCATCTTCATAAGTGGCCTGCATGTGAACTGTACTACTCGGTTTCCATTTTGGGTCAGACAAATTGGGCTCTTTCCTCTCTGTTTTCACATGCGATCAAAGTCCATAGCCAGATTCAACAGCACCAACGAATCCTTCACCTTGCTTTTATATATATATCCTTCAATCAACCACAAATTAGCAATGCCATATATACAGAGAAAGAGTTATACAATTCAAAATGAAAGGATTATAACCTCCTCACAAACGGAAGATATACGCCTGGCTCCAGATTTTGGAATTCCTAATGTTTTAAGTTAATTTCCTTTTTTTTTTTTTTTTTAATTGTCTAGAATCTGAAGTCCATTGCCAGACTAATCCGGATTCGCGTCGAGCATACCCTCAAAGGGACAAAGCGCTTCCTCCGAAGTGTTCAAAGACATTACATACATATGGCTCGAATTCAGACACCTCTAATTAAAAGAAAGGGATTTCAGTCATTCCTTATTACCGACTGGAGTTATATTCGTTTATTGATTAAGTTTCTATTAATACCATATAATTTTTTTTTTAATTTGAAAATAAATTTAGAAAAAGGAGAAAGAAGAATGTTTGAAGGTTAAATATAGAAAAAGTTAATTTTGGAAAACAAAGAGGGAAATGGAACAAGATTAAATCAATATTCACATACCCAAGTTGAAGGATACGATGAATTTGTCCACAAAGATTAAATCTTAGTGGACATAAACATAATTAAAAAAAAAAAAAAAAAAAAAAAGTCCACAAAGATTAAATCTTAGTGGACATAAACATAATTAAAAAAAAAAAAAAAAAAAAAAAACCAAATAAAAAAAAAAAAAAAAAAAAAAAAACCAATGAGAATATTAAATGAAAGAATTAGAAAAATAAAATTAAGAATTGGCAAATGGTTGATAATTGTTTGGACCACATAATAAAGTGCAGTAATCTTTATGCTCCAAATAATTTAGTGTGGTCCTCCATTGACTCGTTAATTAGTAGCTACAACAAGAGTTTCTTTCAACTTCCGTTTGTTACTACCACTACGTGCTCCTTTCCTTTTCTCCAACAACGATTTAAAGGCTTATACTTTATTTTCTTGTCATAATTTTCAAGTGGGTTTCAGCATCTTTTCTTTCTCTAAATAAATTCCACAAATTACTCTTTTCAAAAACATCAGATTTCTTATTTAGTTTCTTCCATATGTATGATGGATTTGTGGATGTCTCTTGCCAATCCATCAAAAAATAAATTATTAATTGTGTTAACTTTTATTTCTTTTTTTTGGAAATTATTTTATTAAAACTATTTGTTCTTTTGATAAGATTAATGAATATTAATTAATTTTTTAAAATTTACTAATAGATGATGTATGTTAGAGTAATAGATCAAATCAAAGATAACTTAATCAAATTAAGGAGTACTTTATTATTATTATAATTTAGGTGATTTAGTTGCTTTTTTAAGCACTATGTAAATTTTTTTTTTTCCGTTTAATGATTTACGTAATCTTATTTTCCGTTCACTCCGAGAGGCATGAGAGTTGGCTTGTGGAGATTTTACGCTGAGAGTGCCTCAAAACTACAACCTCGTAAATCTCTCAATTCCTTTGAGTGCTCTTTGTCACTGAACATAAAATTTTTACAAGATAAAAAAAATGAATTGAAAGAAGATAAAAGAAAGTCATTTTCAATGTAAGTATTGAAGGTGAAAGCATAATCACGAAAAATATAACTTGTAATTGTAATTAACTTTTTGAGATGGAAAGGGTAAAACCCTAATTATGGACAGTGAATTTCTTGGTGTAGGAACGGTGCCGCTGTAATTAGCGTAGTTATTACAGTAACAATATAGCAAACCCCATGTCTAATTATTCAAGAGGATGAGTAAGCAGTTAGCTCTTTCTTAGCAACAATTTGAATTTGCTAAACGACATGTGGAAAAGAAAAACAAAAAGGAAAAATACAACAAGTGGATATTTGCAGACAAAACCACAAGATGAACACATGACTTGACCTTATATGATACCAATTTAAATTCTTCTCTTTCTTTTTTTTTTTTTTTCTTTTTATTCATTTGGATTGGCATATAAATTTTTTGCTATTTATTTAATTATGAACTTAACAAAATGAAGGTTATATTCAGCAACCACTTTTTAAATAGCTTTTAGAGTTTAACGTGGTGTTTCATGCTTAAACAGTTGATTGTTAAATGTTAACAACTACCAAAACAATTGGTTTTGTTGAACAACCCTGAAGCAAAGAATACACATAGCCATCGGCAAAGCTATATGATGAGAAGATTGTAGGAGCCATTTATAAATGCAAGTCCTAGGATTTAAATTCAAGATCTGTAAACTAAATGCAAGTCCTAGGATTTAAATTCAAGATCTGTAAACTTTCACTTGATTGCTTGAATTAATTAGGGATTAAATTAGAATTAGCATATGATTGTGTTGAAAGTAAGGAGAAGAGAAATTCTTGTACCTAATATGAAAAAGGGAGAGGATTAGGACAAAGGTAGTTTTAAAGAAAGCTGAAACTGAAGTAATAAGGAAGGTGTACCTATACATTTTTATATCATTAAATTTAGCTTTGGGTTTCTACAATAACAGTTTCTATTTTTAGCTTAAGCATTATTACAGCAATGGAGTTTCAAAATATTCAATAGTTGAAAATCAAATTTAGAATTTTTTTAGACGACCAAGTTTAGAAAATATGCTTCCATCAATCATTTGATAATTAAATTGTTTTTACTTGGGACTTAACTGTTGAATCATTTGTGAATGTAATTTTATTGATTTTTTATTATTTTTTTGAGAGCTAGCTCCATTTTTTTTTTAAAAAAAAAAAAAACTAAATAAAAAGATGTGCAAAAGCATAAAGCGGCCATATATTTACCTGGGAGGGCAAATACTTTTAGAAGTGGGCTAATGCACGTGCACGTGCACACGCACAAGGGAATATTATGGTGCACAAGTTGGTCCATACGCTACTCCATCTTTGATATGGGCTTTAAAACCTAAAGTTCAAAGTTGAATCCTTAATCACATATTTATAATTATATTAGTGGAGTATTTTCTTTTCTGAGGTCTCATTCATTAAAATTAATGGAGGCATGTAGGGACACAATGTTTGTTTTTCACAATCAAGATTATCATTATTAATTGACAATCTTTAATATTAACTGCCCTCTTTAAGCTATTATTAACACCTTGCATTGCACTAAGCCACATCTTATTCTTAATAAGTAGATAAGCATCAACAAATTACTTAAAGCTTCTATGTAAAGACTCCTGAATGTCAATTATTTGACATATGACATTTGCCAATTTTTCTTGTGTGAATGAAAAGATGGTATTTCAATTCAATCCTTCTAAAAAATTATAATATGTTATATTCAAAAAAAATCCTAAAAAAAATATAATCTCAAGTTTTTTTAGGCAAAAAAAGTCATGGGAAGTTAATTTCACACATCATGATAATTTTTTTTTTTTTTTTTTTTTTCTGAATAAGTAGACCCTCACCTAGCTATTCACAAATTACTTAATAGCTCTATGTAAAGGACTGTCTCTGAATGTCAAATTAAATTTGAACTATGACATTTTGCCAATTTTTTCTGTGTGAATGATATATGGTATTCAATTCAATCCTTCTATAAAAAATTATAATATGTTATATTCAAAAAAAATCCTAAAAAAAATATTATCTCAAGTTTTTGTAGAAAAAAAGTCTGGGAAGTTACATTTCACACATTCATGATAATTTTTTTTTTTGTTTTTTTGCACAAAAAATTTTCTTTTATATTAAAATCCTGTGGAAAAAGTTAAATATACGGTCGCCTAAAGCCTCCCAGGACACCATCCTAAACTCGCATCATGATAAAACTGAACAATTAAAGATTTACTATTAATGGTTTTTTGTTTAATTTAAACCTTTTTTTCTATGCCTTTTTTTTTTTTTTTTTTTTTTTTGCAGCAAAAATTTCTTTTATTATTAAAATCCTGGAAAAATTTAATATACGGGCCATTAAGCCTCCCAGGACACCCATCCTAACTCGCATCATGATAAACTGACAATAAGAATTACTAATTAAGGTTTTTTTGTTAATTTAAACCTTTTTTTCATCCATTTTATTCTTGAATGAAAAATCCATAAATGCCATTCACAAGCATGGTGCCTCTCATTAATACACACATTAAATTTTAAACCTAACAAGTTATTAAATAATGTCTCACTCTCATCATCAATCAAAATATCCTTGAATTGAAGTTTGTTCCAAATTATACAACAACTAGCTACTCAAACAGAACAAATTTACAATCCTATATATACTCGTACTTATATAAAACTTATATCAGATACAAGTACTAAAAGAAACCTAACCCTTGATTAGCTAATATCAAAAAACATCAAAATTTTCCAAAAAGAAAAATAAAATCAAAGCTTTGAAAAATTTCTCTTATTTCTGGGGATGATGTAAGCCTATATGCTCCTGAATTAACGATACTTAATAAGGGTAGAACCGTAGAATATAGATAGGGTTATGACCCATGCTTGGGGCAGTTGGGTCCTTAAGTAAGCCAGAAAGACAAGATTACTGACTTCATCAATGACCAAAACCAAAACAACCCATTATAGAGATATGTAAGATAAGGCACTCCACATTTAATTTAAGTACCCACTACTTTCTTTCTTTTCGTCATCATCTACCTATTTTTAAATATTTATCTAATAATAATAATAATAATAATAATAATATACAAGTTAAACTAATTCTGATTTCTGCTTCCCTTAAAAGGAAAGTGAGAAAATAAAATATTAATATTGCTTAAAAGAGATTAGATTGTTCATACTTTTTCCTCATCTGATTAGCTATTAAAGACTAAAATACACAATCAGATCAGATTAACTAAAATATTAGTACTTTTTTCCCTTATTAAGCATTAAATATCATATCTACTCATAAACTAAAAAGCTAATGCACATAACAGGGCAAGAATGCTTTCTTTTGTGCACTTTATTAGAATGGGAAGAAGAAGTAAAAGAATTTTATATATATAAAGAAAGAAAGAAAGAAAGCACAAGCTTGGTTTTTTTATTTTTAATAGCACAGTGAACTTATCAGCATTTAGCACCACTAAATTAATTAACTTCCAATCAAGAATCTCGATTAAAAACTGCAATTGCTGATGATTGAAAAGTGTTATGAAATGATGCATTTTGTAATTTATTTTAATTAAAACATTATAATATAAGATTTGATTATAATCAAATTCTATTGTGTACAAAAAGATTATTAGATATGTTAGAATAATATGTAACCGCCCTAATCTAAGTGACACCACTTTTTGCTTCTTTCTCTCAGACAGAAGATAAAAGGAATCCCTCTGTTTCTCTTTCTTTCTCTCTTGGCAGCCATTAACTAGATTCAGAAAATTGAAATTAGAAAAAAAAATTAATTAAAGAAGATTAATTAATTAATTAATCTAGTATTAAAAGTGAGCAATTGAAAGACGAGATGAGAGTAAAGTTTTTAGGATCCCCAAATAATTTAATATTAAGTAGCTCCTAATAACACTAAAGTGAAAGCAAACAAATCATGCCACAGAAAAGCTAACAAAACCAAAGAAACATATGAAATAAATTTTTTTTTTTCCTCTTTGGATCAAAGCTCTCGCATGTTACTCTTCAACAAAGTGAAGAAGAAGAAGAAGAAGAAAAAGAAGAAGAAAAGGATGATTAATTAAACTAAATTAAAAAAAAAAAAGAAAAAGAAAATTAAGGGGAAAAAAACTGAAGAAGTGAAATTAGAAGAAAAGAAACAACTACTAGCATGCTTACTGATCTCTCTCTATCTAGCTAAGATTTATTATAACCTCCTCCATCATCAAAAGATAAAACCATTAATCAAGAAAATCAAGAAGATGAAGAAGACCCATTAGTACCAACATGAGCAACATTATCATTTCCAAAGTGTTGTTCTTGTTGTTGTTGTTGAAGATGATGATTCAGATTCTCACTGCTGTTGTGATTCTCATGCTGTTGTTGTTGTGTTGTGCTCTTATTTTCAAAGATCATGCTCTTGTACATTTCCATTTCTCATTTCCATTTCATTAGCGTTCTCTTGCCGAAGGTGTTCTTGTTATTATTGCATCACCACTTTCAAAACTCCTTTATCAAACCCCAACTCATGGCAAAATTCTTGATCATTCTTCATCTCTTTTTGCACTTCATCAAACTCTTCCCGCAAACGTTGATACATTCTCTCTTTCTGGTTCTGGCTTAAATTTGCCTGAAACATCCAACTCTCTCCGCAAACTGATACATTCTCTCTTTCTGGTTCTGGCTAAATTTTGTCCTGAAACGTTTTCTTGCCGAAACGCCACCCGAAACGTTTATATTCGAATTTTCGTTTAACCCAGCAGATACGCCACCTGAGAGAGCTAACAGCATGTGTGGCGCAGATGGGTAGGCAGAAGAGATCGGCGGCGGAGAGGCTGAATTTGGGCTTCGATAAGATTGTGCTTGTGGGGGTGGTGGTGGAGGGTGGTGACGGTGGTGAGGTTGGTACTCAATGGTAGTAGTGGTGTTAGTTGGAGGAGGAGAATCTTCAGGCTCCCGGCGGTGAAAATTGCGGTGGCAACCGCAGGCTGCGCATTTTAAAGAAGTTGGATCAGTGTGGGTAGCTGTAGGAGAAGGCATAAACTCTCCACAGCCATCTAAAGCATGCCCACCTAAAGTAGCGGCGTGGTTCTTGAGACATTCTTTGTAAGTTACAACTACAGGTGTTGCAGGATGGTGGTGGTGATGGTGGTGATGGTGAGGATGGTGCCGTTTTAGAAGACCGTTGGTGAGAGATAAAGGCTTAGCTGGTTGGATCCGGATAGGAGTTTCCGTTTCTTGGTCAGGAGATTTTGTATTGGGGGTATTTGTGTTGTTGTTGGTATTGTTGTTTGTGGTCGAGGTGGTTGTTGGGCCTATGTCCATGGCTCAAACATTTAATTTAAGTTTTAAAGAAAAAAGAAAAATAAAGATTTTAAAGAAGTTGCAGAAGTAATTAGGGTTTTGTAGAGGTGGGTGGTGGTGGTGGTGATGGTGGTGGGGTTCTGTGAAGAAAAAGAAAATGGATTAATGGGTTTCAACTTTTTTTTTTCTTTTGGTTCTTTTTCTTCTTTAGATGGAAATGGTGGAGGAGGAAAGGAAGAGGAGGAGGAGGAGGGAGGAGAAGGAGCTTGATGGTTATGATGATGGTGATGATGAGCAGTGATGACTGTTGATAATAAAAATCTGGGTTTTTGTGGTTGTCCTTCTTAACCTTAACCCAAATATGTTTTTTAACCCTAGTTCTAATATTATCCATGGTTAAGTCACTTGACCCTACTTTAGTGTTAGATGTTGTCTGTGCAATAAATATGCCTACGTAGCCATTGACCCTATTGTACAACAGTTGTATTTTCTAGTTTTTCTACCCTTATTACAGTCTAGTCTACACCGGTTTAAAATATTTTCTTTTCTTTTTTTTAGTTGGAGTAAATTCATTTTTGACTCGGTTCTTTTTCATAATAATTCTCCGAGTTATTAGGCTTTTTCTCAGAGGGGTCTGTGCTCTGTCCAATCATGACTCATTGAGTTGACTCGTTGGATTGTTTGTTTATATTGACATTACCACAAATTAACAGTGGTTAAAATTATTTTCTGGTTAAAGTTGTTTGTTTACTTTTATGAGAATATACAATTAATTTTAATTGGTTTTATTAAATAACAAATTTAAAAATTTAAACAGAAATGCTAAACAATCGCAGAAAATTAAGTGGTAAAAATGTAAAAAATATGAAAAATCATGACTGTAGGATACCTTATGCATTTTCTGAGACATTCTGTTACCCTCCTATCTTAATTTTGTCAACTTGCCATGACTATGGTCTGGACCGCTTTAAAAACATGTTACAGTGGTCTTACAAAATATACTTGATTTTTCCACCCCAATCTTCATATTCAAAACTACCCTTCCCTCTCTCCATCAAGAGGGCAAAAATACAGTGGGCAAAACTGTCTTTTTAAGTACATTTTTAATTTTAAGTCCAGGTTGTTTAGGTCCTTTAGGACACCACATCCTTAGAGTTAAAGGTATCTTTGTCGGCTCTGGAAGAATTTTCGGATGTTGAAGGGCGTTTGTCCAATAAAAAAACCCTCTTTTCTTTATCTACGCCTAAACGACATCGTTCCTCTGAATCCTACATTACATAACCGTACTCTCTTCCTAATGTGGGTTCCAGCAGTTAATTTGTACACTTTACCACTGTATAGACGAAACTGACCTCGAACACGTGATGAAATCACAATTTTGTCCCGATCAACTGCATTGTAGTTTAGTGCAGCAAACACGAGAGATTTAGTAACGTAAAGACCAAACAATAATCACAATTAACACGTAAAAGAGGTTTCATGATCTGACAGACACCTGTTAATTAACCACTTACGTGGAGGACACGTGTAGTAATTTTAACTTAATAGCTGCCACGTGGAGTTATTAAAAGTCAAAATTTCTGATAATTATAGTGTCAGCCTTCACCGATTATAAAATTAATTAAAATAAAAAAAACGAAGAAAGTCCTTGAGAGGAGAAATGATATGGTACGTAGAGGACTACACCACTGATTTACGTTACGTCTGATGGGTTTTCAATGGCACTGATTTTGTTGCTAATTAAATTAATTATTTTTAAAAAAAAAAAGGAGAGAGAAAATGATGACGTAATCAGACCAATGATAGAGGAGCTAAGGTTTAATCATCGAAGGCCGTGTGAAGCTAACCGTTGCATTGAAACTCACAATTCTGTGTGAATTTATTAGCGGAAGGAAGACTTAGTATTGTACTGTACTTTTCAATTTTCATTTTTATTAACTTTCATTCAATTAAAAATATAAAGATTAGCTTTTAAATCAATTTAAGATTTAAATTTCATTTTAAGAGAATTATTTCTTATTTTTATTTGTCAATTATATTCATAATTATGTTATATTATATTTTATTACGATTTATCGATATCTAAATAAGTGTTTATCGGCAATGAAAATATAGAATTTTTGAAATTTTTTTTTAAATCATGAATACTGAAACTGAAATTTTATTATTATTATTATTATTATTATTATTAATTTTGGCCCATGCATTGATCTAAAAACTTAATTGAATATTCATAAAAGATTCAAAACCGTGTATTTAGTTGAATTTATAAATATTAGTATTATATGTGGGTGAAATACTGAAATGAAAAGAAAAAAAAAAAACTTTTTCCTTTTAGGCCAGGTATGGTATGGGTGACAGTATGGTCCAGCACGTTTCGATGGAAGTCTTCTTCTACCTTTTGTTTTATTTTTAGTATATAATTATTGCTTTTTTCTTTAGATTATGTTGAATTAGATCCGTCACTATCTAATTTAGAATTTGAATCTTCTCTCTTTTTTTTTAAAATAGTTTATAGTTTTTTGATAATATATATTATATGACAATCAATTTGCAAATTTAATAAAAAAATAATAATAAAAAGGTTTGATTTGTTCTTAACCCCTCCATATATAGTTCCTTTAGTCTTCAATTTGTTGCACCACTATTATGAGGCACATCACATGTTATACTCTCTTGTAAATTTGACTTTGTTACACATTTATCATCTATCATAACATAATCCATTTTTGGAATAGTTAGGCACCGTTTTTAATTAATTTTTGAAAATTTTAAAGTTGTAAGAAAAATAGTTTTCAAGGCCTACCTTATGTTAATCACTAAATTGACAATTTCATTAATGTATGACATTTGCATTTCGTACTTTCTTTGACACAAATGTGATTGGAGATAATCATATCCTATGTATGTATTCACAAACAAATTAATCTATTGAAAATTCTAAGAAAAATAGTATTCAATGCCTACTTTTTTGTTAATCACTAAATTGAAAATGTCATGTACTAATTATAGTTGATTTTGTACTTTCTTTGCTACAACAGTAGGTTTGAATGAAAATAACTCGTGAAGTCTCTTAAGTAAGGATCGAGTGTCTGATTATTATTGTTCGACACATAAAAATTTTTGACTAAAACTACTAAATATGAAAGAAAAAATGATGGAAATACTTGAAAAGAACAAAAAAAAAAAAAAAAAAAACAGTGGAAATTACTTGAAAAAGAACCAAAAAAAAAAAAAAAAAAAAAAACACTAAACAAAACTAATAAGAAAATAAAAAATAAATTAAAAGAATAATATATATTATAATATTTTGAATATAATAATTTTTCTTAAAGTAATTCAAAATAAAAAAAAAAAAAAAAAAAAAAACACTAAACAAACTAATGAAGAAAATAAAAATAAAATTAAAAGAATAATATATATTATAATATTTTGAATATAATAATTTTCTTAAAAGTAATTCAAATTTCAAACCATTTTCAGTTTACCCATATAAAATAATTAAATACAAATAATCAAACACAAGCTACCTCATAAGATAAATTCACCTAATAGTTAAGGAAGGTATATTCATTGGAATATACAACTCTGAAGACTGAATCTGTGGCTGTAATGTGTATACTACAGTGTGCATGTATGTGTGCAGTTCAACAAATTCAAAATCCTGAAGGTCAAAATCTATATATCTACAGAAGAAATTAATTTCTAAAATAAAAATAAAAATAAAAATTCAGAGAGCTATACATAATGTAGATATAGGCTTACTGTGCATTAGATGTTTATAGATTCAACTTATTATATACACATATTTGGGTCCCAAAATTTCAGAATGTGGGCCAGAAAAATTGATGTGGATGATATAATGTGCTTGTGTTGAAGTTAGGGAGAAGGTCACATTTCTATAGCTTATAGGGTGTTAAGTGAAAACTACTTGTACTCTCTATTTTAATTATTATTGGTGATTGTTGAGTTAAGCTAATTCCTTTGATTAAAGTTTAAGCTCAAACATAAATCCTTAAATGGTGATTAGTTGGCAAAGTTAGTTTAATTTTTATTATCCCTTTTGGTTCGATTGGTTTATGTTTTGTTTTTTATAACCACGAGAAGATTATAATTCTCTCAAACCATAAAATATAGAGCGTAAATGTTATTAATTCTCTTATTTGTATGTATTTTGAAAAGGTAATATACAATTAAAAGTTCAGATTAAATTGAGATTAGTGGGATTTAATTGCAAATTAAAAAAATAAAGTACTAAGTTAGAAAGTTGTTGTAGATAGCAAAGTTACTTATTACTGGTCGACCTTTAATTCTGTTCTGACCCTACTTACTAGAGATAATATAATATTTGTATGAACCTTAATTACCTTTTGACAAAGTGCCATTGACAAATATATATAATAGAGCTTTTTCGTTACAGTTGACGATCAAGTACAAAAAGTTACTCGAGGGTTAAAGAAAGTCTTAAAGTTATATATCCTCTCCAAAAGAAACTGTTATCTCATGTGCATGCATATATTTGATATATATTTTATTTTTTGAGTTTGCAAATGTACTTTTCCACTCCATTTTAGGTGATATTTAAGTAAAATACTTTCAATAACGATAATTTTAAAATTAAATAATATATTAATTTTACCGATAAAATTTATTTGGAAATATTATTTATATTAGCTGATCTAATCAATTATTGGTAATATATACAGTTAGTGTAGGAAGTAGACATTGTGTAGGAGATTTGATGAGAAGCATAATTGATTGTCTCTTGAGATTAAATAGTATATAGGAGTGTTAATCAAGGAAATAACAAGCATAATTTTGAAGCAATAATGGGGTGTTCTTCTTTTTCGCTTCAAAGAAAGCATCTCCTACAAGCCCTAATGAGGGATTCAAATAGGGCAATTGGGATATAGTTGTGTGTAGGTCATTTTAGCATATAGACCTTAATCTCTCTTAAATGAAACAGGATGGTCCTAAAAGAGAGAGAGAGAGAGAGAGAGAGAGAGCAATTGGATCCTATAGGAGGATAAGGTTCTTTAATATGATTTTGATTAGGGTGCACTTCAAACCTTCTTTATGGTCAAAATTTACATTCTATATTTGTGGGTAAATTAATGGCCTTTAATTTACAAAATAAATAAGCATGAATTTGAAAGAGACATTTCTTTTATAAAATCTTCAATGAGATAACATTATTTATTTTAGCACAATTTTTTTCTTTCTAATATCAGAGAATGAGAGATTCAAAACTAGGTCTACCATTGATCATATATATATATATATATATAGATTCGAGATATCGAATTACGTTTATTGAAT